CTTGCAGGGACCGGCCCTTGCAGGGACCGGCCCTTGCAGGGACCGGCCCTTGCAGGGACCGGCCCTTGCAGGGACCGGCCCTTGCAGGGACCGGCCCTTGCAGGGACCGGCCCTTGCAGGGACCGGCCCTTGCAGGGACCGGCCCTTGCAGGGACCGGCCCTTGCAGGGACCGGCCCTTGCAGGGACCGGCCCTTGCAGGGACCGGCCCTTGCAGGGACCGGCCCTTGCAGGGACCGGCCCTTGCAGGGACCGGCCCTTGCAGGGACCGGCCCTTGCAGGGACCGGCCCTTGCAGGGACCGGCCCTTGCAGGGACCGGCCCTTGCAGGGACCGGCCCTTGCAGGGACCGGCCCTTGCAGGGACCGGCCCTTGCAGGGACCGGCCCTTGCAGGGACCGGCCCTTGCAGGGACCGGCCCTTGCAGGGACCGGCCCTTGCAGGGACCGGCCCTTGCAGGGACCGGCCCTTGCAGGGACCGGCCCTTGCAGGGACCGGCCCTTGCAGGGACCGGCCCTTGCAGGGACCGGCCCTTGCAGGGACCGGCCCTTGCAGGGACCGGCCCTTGCAGGGACCGGCCCTTGCAGGGACCGGCCCTTGCAGGGACCGGCCCTTGCAGGGACCGGCCCTTGCAGGGACCGGCCCTTGCAGGGACCGGCCCTTGCAGGGACCGGCCCTTGCAGGGACCGGCCCTTGCAGGGACCGGCCCTTGCAGGGACCGGCCCTTGCAGGGACCGGCCCTTGCAGGGACCGGCCCTTGCAGGGACCGGCCCTTGCAGGGACCGGCCCTTGCAGGGACCGGCCCTTGCAGGGACCGGCCCTTGCAGGGACCGGCCCAAGGGTGGGGTGACTGGCAGGGAGGGCGTGGCGGGGCGTGTCGGATTGCCTGGTCCCACCCACCCGCCTCCTGCACTCGGTGACTGGCAGGGAGGGCGCGGCGAGGCGGCGCGGATTGCCTGGTGCCCCTCCTCCCCGCCCCCTGCACTCTTTGACTGGCAGGGATGGCGGGGCGTTTCGGGGCGGATTGCCTGGTGCGCCTCCCCCCCCCGCCTCCTGCACTCGGTGCAGCGCCATGTGTGGGAGAGATGCTGTTGTGATCCTTTCCGTAGCGAGAACCCCAATAGGTAACACAGAGAGAGCAGCGCCACTGCCGGACACTGGGGGGGATCCCCGGACACTGGGGGGGACCCCCGGACACTGGGGGGACCCCCGGACACTGGGACCCCCGGACACTGGGGACCCCCGGACACTGGGGGTGTGTGTGTGTGTGTGGAGGCGCTGCTCTGGAGGCGGATTTCCTGCAAACAGCTGAAGGATAATTGAAGTTGTTTGTGCGGGGCCTTAACCATCACTATTACCATCACCACAGCCCCCCCCCCCAGCCCCCTGCCCCCCAGCCCCCTCCCCCCCTGCCCCCTGCCCCCCAGCCCCCCCAGCCCCTGCCCCCCCCAGCCCCCCGCCCCCCCCCCCTGCACCCCCCAGCCCCCCCCAGCCCCTCCCAGCCCCCCAGCCCCCAGCCCCTCCCCAGCCCCCCAGCCCCCCCCTCCCAGCCCCCCCCCAGCCCCTGCCCCCCCTCACCCCCCCAGCCCCCAGCCCCTCCCGCCCCCCCCAGCCCCAGCCCCCCCCAGCCCCCCCAGCCCCCCCCCCCCCTGCCCCCCCCAGCCCTGCCCCCCCCAGCCCCCAGCCCCCCCCAGCCCCTGCCCCCCCCAGCCCCTGCCCCCCCAGCCCCCTGCCCCCCCAGCCCCAGCCCCCCTGCACCCCCAGCCCCCTGCCCCCCCCAGCCCCCAGCCCCCAGCCCCCCCCCCCCCAGCCCCCTGCCCCCCCCAGCCCCCTGCCCCCCCCCAGCCCCTCCCCCCCCAGCCCCTGCCAGCCCCCTGCCCCCCCCCTGCCCCCCCTGCACCCCCAATATTGGGCTGTTTAAGGAAAACAAATCTCGACGACTTGCAGGAAAGTCATGGAATCAAATCCTCCACGTGTCTTTTATTTTAACGCGTGCAAAACGCGTTGTGTGCATTGTTTTAAAACCTCCGCTTATTAATTCTGGTTTCTTGAGGACTGAACAGATGCCGTTCGGATTCAGGTCTTTAATAGCACTTTTCTGTCACCAGTAAACGTGGACTTGTGCGCGACCGTTCCACAAGATACTTGTCTCTGCCATTAATAAGCCATTCTTCTCTCCGGCCCTCACTAAGCACTTTAATCCTGGCTTGGGCACGTGTGGAGGTGGCAGTGCTGGGAATTGGCTGCTTGTCTCTGTTCTTATGAAGCGTACCTTTTAGAGTAAGGGCTGCTCTCATTAGAGACTCCTGGATTTATTAGCACAGCTCCCGTGTCTATTTAACTGTGTCTCTCTCGGGACAGGCAGCAACTGTGCAGCCACTCACACATCCTGATTGTTCTTCACTCAATGGCACCATTCTCCTGCCATCAGCTGCTCAAGCAAATTCAAGAGTTGGATATGATCTGCATGTGGCATGTTCTGCTAAATCGTATTTGTTTAAAACACGAACGAAACGGCATCGTTTTACAAGGTGCAAGCGATGCCTAATCAATGTTCATGCTTGTTCTTTCAGTGTTTTGACATTGCACGCATTGTGTGGAAACAGCTTCACGGGAAACTTACCACGGGTTTAATGCACATTTTCCTCTTGGTTATGTTATGCTATTAATAACGCTCTTTGCATTTGGTGTAGCTTCTTATCACATCAGAAGCACCCCTCAAAGCACAATTGCGCACAGCAATGTCCCACAAACAACCATCAAACCTGTGCCCAATTTTATTTGGCGGATTGGTTAGCCAGGACCCCGAGAGAAACTCAAATAGTGTCATGGGATCTTTACAACAACAACTTGCATTTATGCAGTGCCCTTCACCAGGGGCAGCATCCCGGAGCACTTGAACATCTCGGCAGGCAGGACCTCAGTATAACGTTACATCTGAAGGACTGCACCTCCCACAACACAACAACCTCCCCACCCCTGCCCCAGGACTGCATTGGAAAGTCAGTTTTGACTATGTGAGTTCGAGTTCCAACATGGGAATTGAACCCACAACCTTCTGACTCAGAGGCGAGAGCGCAACCACTGAGCCAAACTGACACAACTACTTCAATATGTGTAAATGCCATTGATGATGCATGCAATGTTTTAAGTATTCTGCTAGATCAATATTGAAAAAATGAGCGGCAGTTCTGTTAACAGGTTTCATGTCTACCAGCAATACCTTAATGAAGTCTTCAAAGCATTAAACTCCCTTCCCATTCTTTGTTTCAACAGGCGCAAAGTCACGTACTTCTTAGAATGCAACCAGATTACTGTTAAAAGTCATATGACTTTTAATGAAAGACTCTGAAGACTTATTTTTCTTTGTTAGTCAGGAATCTGACGCTCACTGAAACCTGTTGCTGTTTTAATATTTCCAGGTTCAGCTACTGTACTCAGAGTTTCTATTTCTGGAGTGCACAAATGGTTCCCCAGAGGAGGAACTAAGGTATTAAGGGCCTGAAAACTGATTATTTTCCAAAAAATAGGAATAATCCTATAGTTATAAATAGGTGTATTAGATATAAAGTACTACATTGCTGTATCCTGTCACTATCCTGTCACAAACTATAAAGTGCAACTTTTAATGTTAAAATAAATGAAATACCTAATACTCAATGATCACAAGCAACATAAAAATCTGATAAGATTTGATCAATAAGGTGTTCAGATATAAAAAATGCTGTAATGTTATTGTGGGCTTTCTTGGTCAGCCAGGTGTCTGACATGTGCAACAACAACTTGTATTTAGATGGTGTCTTTCATGCAGGGTAGCGTCCAGGAGAGCTTGACAGTGGTGGAGTCTGACACCAAGCCAAGGGGAGAGGAAGGGGACTGTAAACAAGCTGAAAAAGGAAAGTCCTTAGGCAGGATTTGAAAGTGGGGAGGAAGGGGGCAAGGCAGAGGGATTGAGGGAGAGCGTTCCAGAGTTCGGGCTTTGGCTTACGGGGTTAATGGAGCTGAGTGGGAACAGTCCCCTGTGATTGATCTGCCCTTCCAAGTCCTGCTGATGAGCCAGGCTGTGCTGTCATCAGGAGTGTCATGGAGCTCTGCGGACACACCTGGCTCAGGTCCTGGACTACCGTGGCTGCTAGAGAGGGTGGGCTTGATCCTGACACTGCGTTGCCAAGTATTTCACTTTGGAGTCCAGTTCAGCTCCAAGGAGATCCCGCTTACCTCCCACCAAGGAGAATATTGTGTATAAAATTATCCACAATTATATTGTATGTAGATTCTATTGTGTATCAATAGGTATTGTGTTATACAGTGCATAAAATTATATTGATTAAAGGATTAGCAAATAACAGATTAACATAGCAAATAAAGTATTAAATCAGAGTTTTAAACATAACAGATAATATATTCAATGGTATATTTTAAGAACATCGCTTGATTCTTTCAAAATTGTTACTTTCTACTGCTTTTATTTTATGTCCTTTAAAGGGGATGCAATTTTATGCCCAATGGTCTACTGGGGCTTGGGTAAAACACTTCAAACATTTACACTTAGGTAAATGTAAAACTGATGAAATTTACAATTGTATGAATTTGGCAGGATTATGTGCCTGGTCATGTCACTGGTCAAGATTGTCAATGGTAATCTGCAGAAAATCTGTAATCTGTAATCTTCAGCACTGTAATAAGATCACTTAGAAGTAAAGAATGGAACGGCAACCTGATAAAAACAAGTGGAGGGCAGACCATGTAGCTTTGCTTAATCTGGTATAGAGTAGTGATTGTAAAGAGCAGCGTCCCTGAAGAGCTACTGTCTGAATTCTAGTGGGAGATTAAATTCTGTGTGTCAGAGGGGTGAGTGTTCAGCTGTTCAGGATCACAAACTGTTCTGGCAATGTACACTGAATTCAGCTACAAACACTAAGAGCCAAACTTTTAATGGAGAATATTAGGTCAGAATTGAAAATAATACAGAAGAATTAACAAAATGTTGGCTGGAATAATATGGACAACTCAAAAAAAGTAATATTTAATTCAAAACTAAACGCAAATGGACATTTACAAATCCAACTGCAAACTCAAATTTACTCATCAAAAAGCAACAAAGTGCCATGAAAAAAATTAAACTTTACATCATGTTTGGCTCACTTTAGGTTAAAAAAACTAAGTATAAAAGAGTAAAAATAAGCCATCAACATTCAGTAATGAAAATGGACACTCAGAATGTATGCAAACAATAATAGACTATTATGTAAATTAGAATCTGTTCAATCCAAACACAAAAGTGTAATTTTGGTAGTAATTCATTCAGACACAGTGGTGATAAAGAAATTGCTCAGTCTGGTAATTTGAGGAAAAAGTCTATTTATAGGTGAATTTTGGCCCTTTTTCATAGAAGCTTCCATGTTCATTTTCTGAAATCATTTCACAGAAACCTTCTAATTCATCAGTGCTCGAGAATCACATGGTTGTTTCTTCCCACTCCAATTCCACATCACCTATAAGAAATTCGGAGAAAGGTCAATGTTACCACATCCATCAACATATTCTATAACTACAGAAGTACACAGTGGAAGCTTATGTTGCAGTATTTCCCAAGCCTCCTGTTTCACAAACAGCAATAATGACTTTGATTGGTGCCATCCATTTGATTCTCGAACAACCTCCTATCTTCAGGAGCAGTAGTTGAAATAGAATTGGTGCTCCTAAAAGTTCACTGCAGATTTGATAGAGAAAGGATATTAAATTGATCTTATCTGCACTATAAAATACATGTTACCTATTACTGAACTAAATAGCTTAAGAGGGGTCACTGATAGTTACATGAAATGCAGACTATTACCTAAGAGAAAAATACAGATCATAACATTATAACATTGTCCCTTTCTGCTTTGTGTATTATGAGTTATGTAATAGAAATGCACCGCATTAAAAGGATAATTTGAGAAGCTATTTTAAAATGTTTTGAGAAACTAATTACTGAAAACAAATAAAAGAAACACTCATTTATTTGTATTTCTTTTTAAACCCTTTATTACTCCAGTTAGGTCCCCAATTCTGCCCTCTCCTGCAGCTGTGAAGGTGCCTCCAAGGTTCCTATCAATTCCATTCTGTGACTGGCCAACAGTAGGATAGTTGGACTTGCACTACGAGCTTTTCTTTCTGGTGTGAATGACAGTGATTTGAATTCTGCTCAGTGAATGGGATTGCACATGTCACTTCTCACACACTGTTCACACATGCTATCAGAAACACTTTATATATATAAAGGTACAGTACTCTTCTTTACCATGATATATTTCAGAGCACATCTGCCACTGGCAGTGTTATAAACAGAACAACAGAAAGTTGATCATTGATCGCCAAGTCAAAAAGTACCCATATGTGAGGCTATGGGACTGTAATATGACAGAAAGGTATTGCTGAGGATACAACTAAATTAGTACCGCTCTCACATTCTACAATTGTGTTCGTCCGTGCATAACATTAAAAACATATTGCAATATATTTAGCTACTTTATGAGTTATATGGAAATACAGGGCAGCTCATTAGAACATCTAAAGCGCAGAACATCCAACTTCTGGGTCTGATTAGCTAGTTTCCTGCATTAAAACAAGGCCAACTTTGAACTTCTCGAGTTGCTACATACAGGAAGCTTCGTTGATGTCACTTTCCATGCACTGCGTATGCATGCTGTGTGTAGGAAGTGCCACCAATGTCACTACCTGCAGCCTGCACTTGCATTTTATGTGTATTTGTAGCAGGTTGCTGTGGACATCACTTCACCAAGGAAGTTACATCGGTACTTCTTGTATAAAGGTTGCATGTGCTACATGGAGGAAGTGATATCAGTAGTGACCTAATGACCCAGAAATTAGTCATTTTTCTACACTACATAATAATCTGACTTCTGAGATATTGAATCTAAATGACTGTTATATAATACGGTTCTTCTGTAGTACAAGGTTTTGTGTTATGCATTCAGTTTCACCAATTTTCTTTTATTACCTTCCATTGCATCCAGGGAGTCCATTTTTTGCAAAGCAGAATAATTTACAAACCACAGTGAACGACTGTTGCCTTTATTGTTCAGGAGATCCACAGCACATTGGTGTAAAAACATGTACTGCCCCTGCATTCAATGTAATAGCAAAACGAGAAATGTTACAAATTAGACAAAACCCAAATTGCAGCAAAAATAGTTTTAAAAAAGGTTTTAATTTCCGCATTAGTGCGGCAAATTATAACAATATGACTTAAGATAAATGTTCCTAACTATGATAAATAACTAGGATTCCACTTTTAAAACATGTACATTTGTGCAACATTATTGGATGAGTGTTTCATTTATTTTCCTAATCAGAAGGTAATACGTAGGTATCACTGTCAGTAACCAAATAACCCGCACACTATATCTTGACTGTGGAAGTGTGTTGTTGCTGTCAGATGTCACACTGAAAGGCAGCTGAGTGTTTGAGAGAAGGATGATTCAAGGTTTCTGAACTGGGTCTAACATGGGTCAGCTGCTGGGAAACATCATTTGTATTTAATCACACAAGGCTGTATTATATTGAGGATTTGTAACTCAAAGACTCCCAACCCAATTCATATATTTATGAAAATCAGAAACACAATTGTTGTTATTGTAGATAAATACGGTCTCCCAAGTTGTCAAGTGACTAATACATTTGTCCGTACCATGTCTTGAGGGAAAATACAATACAATTTATATTTATTTAGTGCCTTTCACATCAGGGAGCACTTCACACAGTTGGCTGAGCACCTGAATTGTGTGTGTGGGGTGGGAAGAAACTGAGTGGGGGGGTTGTTCACTGAGGGTAGGTACATTTGTTGGTATAGTAAAATCTGTATAACAACAACAACTTACACTTGTACATCACCTTTCACGTTGGAAAGACGTCCCAGGGCGCTGAACAATCAGGTGTTTTGGAGCCGATAAAGATAAAGCCTTATCTTTATAAAAATACCTTAGTCATATATGTAGCCTGAATCCCATTCAGTTTCTTATCAAAACCACTTTGATTTCTTTGCACTCGCTGTATTAATCATCTCTTGACTCGTAACAGAGCCCCCTATCCTCCATTACTCCCACACTTACTGGCTGCATTGAATAGCGGGAAACAGCATCCTGACCAGTTGATGCAATCGCACTTACCATCTGGCTGCATTGAACCATGGAAGACGTAGTCTTGATCAGTTGATGCATGCGCCGAAGAACGGCATTTCTCGTAATTCATTGCGATTCTAATGTTTGCCGGTAAGTGCGCATGCGGCGATGAATCAAGACACATCGAACTGTGGGAAACACGTAGTGTTTACCCATCATTGCATGCGCAATTACCGGCTGTGTTGACAAAGTACCGCATGCTCACTTACAAGATGAAATGAATTACACATGCGCAGTGTAGAATATTTAATAAATTGGATTTTAAAAGATTTATGCAGGTTGCCTGCAACTCAGACTTCGCATAAGTCATATTAAGTTTCATGTGAGTTTTACTCTTATATGAGTTTTATTCTGGGGCCCTGCCCTGCATGAGGGGCGTTATATAATTGCAAGTTGTTGTTATTATTGTACTTTCAATGTCTGGAATCCTGTAACGTTGTAAAACTCAGGGTATGGGTTCAAACTATGGATATTTTGACATACAAATAGGTGGTGGATAGGAATCAAAGATAATCTGGTGCATATTTGTGAATATCTAGTTTGCCAAAGTAGATGTTTCTTATTTTCTTACCAAGTTCTGCACCATGCACATTCGTTCATTTCGTAAGTCTGCCACTAATCCAAAAATGTCCACAAAGTCGTGGTGGTTCACATGCTGTATAAGGTGATCAAGTGCAATAAAGACTCCAGTCCTGCCTACTCCAGCACTGAGGGTTAAAGGAACAAACACAAATCATGTGTGGCTAATATTTTGAGGGCTATATGGACTAGATATTTCTGAAACTCACTTACAAATAGTGCAATAATATTTTTTTCACTGTATGCTTGAAATAAAATTAAATGCAACCAGTTCCTCCTATTGGGTCTTGTACTTAAAGCTCTAATAACATATTTGTCCAATAAATAATAATAATAATAATCCTTGCATTTGATATCACGCTTTTCACATCGGGAGGACGTCCCAAAGCGCTTCACAGAACATACTGTAAAGTGAATTGACTGTGTATTTGTGGCCGAACGCGACAGCCAATTGCGCACAGCAATGTCCCACAAACAGTCATAGATTGAAAATGACCAATTTGTTATTGTTTTGGGTTTTTGGAGGGATTATTATTAGGCTCTGTGTGGAGTAAGGAAACTTGCCCAAGGTTTCGTCCTCTGCCTGGAATTGAACTCAGGTCTCTCGCTTGCAAAGCGAGTGCTCTAACCACTGAGCTACAGGACTCCACATTGAGTTTTCAGGCGTATTTTTCTATTCCTGATTGTAACTTCAAGGATTATTAGGATTATCCTTGTAAATTCAAGGATTATTCTGCAGGTCATTTCATCTTTGTAATGATGTTTTTAAAAATAAATTTCTCATCATTAAAGGATCATTGAAATTTTAACATGTCCAACATGATATTAGTTTAGAAGTTGGTGATTAGTGTTGAAAAATACTTGGCATATACATTAGTGTGAATATAATATGTGATAAGTTGCATTTGTTTATTAAGTTGTTGAGAACCTAGCCTACAGATGTCAATGAAGCATTCTATTCCATTTGTAAAGGAATTGCACTTTTGCAATCTTTGGCCAACAAAAAAACAATTTATGTCAAAATGCATTGAGCACATTTGCATTTGATTTTATTTAGTGCATAACATAAAGAATTTTTTTTACTTATTATTTGTAAATGTGTTACAGAAATAGTCAATATAGCAACCCAAGGAATTAATAAGTTTCCTTACTTTGTACTATTATTAATAAACATTTTCAAATTCAGTATAGCTTTCCAGTTTTATACCATGTGTATAAAATTGCATGAAATTGTATAAACATGTATATAAAATTGCCACAAGAAACAAATTAATTTCCTGTACATATTTTTACCTGCAATGTGCAACAATAGGTGTGCTATCATTGGCCCTGGATGCTCGAATTAGTTTCACAAAATGAATCAAAGTTGTGCTGCACTCAGGAACTCCATGTTCAGGCCAAGAAGAAAAGTTGAAATGCCTCACCATCATATAATCACCATCCTGTCCAAAACAGGTATTGTATTAAAACAATAAAGAAGGTGTCAATACAAGAACTCAAAATACCAGTAAGAATATGCTGTGTCAACTATATCTGGCAATTACGAAGGATTCAGTTTTTGCTGAGAATGGTAAAAGTAATTTTATCTGTTTGAAAAATGTTGCGCACAAAGTTTTATTCAGAATGCATTTTTAAAATGCCCCTGTGTTTTTTGATCATTTCATGTTGTAAACAGAACATAACTTTACAACATAGAAGAAGGCCATTTGGAAGTTAAATCCAATGAGATCACAGAGTTAGTCCATTTGCATGTTTGTATTATGGATAAAGCTAATAAAAAATATATAATTTTTAACAATAGCACAAAAGAGGAATGGAGATACCAGTAAATTATCAATCATATTTTCAGCTTCTGTTTATTGATGATTTAGTTTGTGATTACTGCTGAATCAGCACCACACAATGACACTTATAGGAATAAATAACTTCAGATGATTCAAGCGGAACAGAGCAAGTTCATCTAAAGTACTCAATACATTTTCCTACAACTTATTTTGTTTCAATCTTTGTTGAAGCAATTAAATTTTCCAAAATATAACATGAAATCACTGTATATTTCAGTCCAGTTGATTCAAAATTCAACATACAAAACTATTCTGGGATGTTCAACAGTGTGATACCTAATGCATTTTGCAGTTACAGAAATAGAAATTATGCCCAGGAAAAATGGACCGAAATAAAGCATATGACACATTTTAGGATTGTTTCCCTCAACATTATACCCGAATATTATCTCTGTTAGTGTTGTTTGAATCAAGTTCCATTTGGTTGTATCTATTTCCATTGGGTAGGCAATCAATGACGGTTCTTTTAAATGGGTATGGGATGTTTACCATTCAATATGTTGGCAAGTGGTAGGAAACGAACGCCACACTCCACTTTTCTTGGGGATCGGCTTACATGTTTTCATAATGGTTATTGCTGATGCCAGCAAAGGACTAGGAAACCAAGAGATGGGTATTTGATCAGGGGTCGATAGTGACCCAAGTGATGAGAGGTCAGTTCATTCTGGTGACAACTAGTTCATAGATTCTTCCCAGGAACCATAACCTCTACCTCATAAAACGCCTGCTGGGGGACAGCAGTAGCCTAGATTTATTACTTTCTGATTTATTTGAAACCTACAGACATGCACAATTCCTTACATAGATGGAAGCAAATATTTCTGCTGAGGTTGTATTTTTACTGGGTATTAAATACAGTCTATTGCAACACGTCTGCACATAGTTTAAAAAGTTCTAACCTGCTACCAACTCTGATACGTAAGGTTGGATAAGCCAGGCTGGGAATGGTTTGTCACATGGTAAAGATTCAGTTCTGAGAAAGTGCATATGTGATCTATCTGTCAGGTCATGTATAGTATTATGTAAAGAGTACATTACTTGCAGAGCATTGGTTCCTGAAAAATTTCAAAGTGTTATGTGATTCATGGTAAATAAATGATCTCATGACTATGTCTTGCAATGCTACTAAAACCTATTTATAGTATAAAAAGGTCCAATGATTCAGTTCACGTAATATATAATTGGGCAGAATGACTTGTTTTGCTGCAGATTTCTTTTTTTAAAATAAATCTTAGACCATTAATAAGTGATAGAGTGACCCTTTAAACAACAAATAGGATTACATAATGAAAACCGTACTCCCTTGTACAAAATGTGTCACAAATTAGTACAGAACTCCAATAACATATTTACCTTTTCAATTTTTAGTTCTCGTGTAGTCCAATCTGCCTGAATGTCCTCTGTTATCTTACTGATTACAATATCTCCAAATACAGACACTGGCTTGTTGTCCTCAGGCCAATACTGGTGACATCGTATCTAAATTAACATAACTTTATTAATCAAGCATATTGAAATCTACTGTACAATATACATTTATGTAGCACCTTTCTTGTCGGGAGGGCCTCAACTGCAGGCAAGGCATCCGAACTGTGAGGTAGGAGCTGATGGGAGAGGGGGAAAATGACAGAAAGTATCGTCAAAGAGGTCAGTCTTTAGGATTTGTACATGGGCAGGGAGGGAGCGTGCAAGTCGGAGGGACTCTGGGATGGAGTTCCAGAGAGCAGGGGCAGAAATGTCTGAAAGCTCGGCCAGTGACGCTGGGGTGGATAGGGTGGGAGACATAAAACAGGGCAGGGACATGAAGCAGGTCAGTGTTTCCTGAGCGATGATAATATGAAGTAATATATATATATATACACACACACATATCTATATACATATTTACACACACAGGGTTTGCATTTATGTAATCAAATTAGGAATCAATTCTAAAGAGATATGTGAATAATTCTTAAGGGTAATTGAATCATCAAAAAAATCATGCTGAAAGATCTTGCCAGTCAAGTTAGCTAATCAATTTGGATTAATGGTGTTTGGATAAATAGTTCATCTTATGCTGTTGGCTGAAAATAGCAACGGTTTCACTGTTATTGTAATGGCATAGCAACCATTACTGTTTTTAACTACCAGCATAAAACAGATCCCCACTGTCCCCGCCTCCCTGAGTCTCATGTCCCACTGTATGTGTTCCCTATCAGAAACTTACTCTGCCTTTTTCAAAACATTGTGTTAACATAATTATGGATTTAGACCTAGTTTCCCAAATCATTCTCCAGAAATCCGCAACGGTTCCAGGTAAAGGACCTTGGCTTGCAATGAACTCATTCGGACACAGGTAACCCTATATAAAGAAAAACAGGAAAAATGTTCAAATGAATAAAATAGAAATTTCCATACACACGACCTAACATTTAAAGAACACTGACTGAAGTTTCAGAAATTGTCAAGCCTCGGTTTACCAGTCTGTACAGATTGATTGTGTTTTGGTAGCAGTAACCACTGTAACCCATTCATTTCTGATCAAGTCAACTCTGTAATTTGTGAAGCAATGAATCCTCAAAGTCCTACGACACAATCTCCATGGGTAATACAACATTTAAAGATAATAGAAATGTCTTATAATGTTTAGTACAACGGATTTAAAATCTATTTATCTTGATCCCTTGAGACGGTCAGAGTACAAAGCAGAGTTGGACTTACTGACACATAGCTAGCGTTGATGAAATCAGACCCAGGGATACCAGCTTCAAGCATGAGCTTCACTCGGTTATTGTTATCTGCATGGAAGAAATGTCAAAGAGTTAAGTTCTTGTTTGGCATATCGTATTCGTATTGGTCCTTTCTAAATTATGCCTTTATTTCACATACATGGAATACACAAACTGGGAGCAGCTGTTCCCAATAGTTTATATTGCAGGATGTAGTTACATTAGTGGAGGAATGTCATGCTTTCCATCTCACATCACAGTTAATGCTTAAAACAATAAGAGCATTTCTCCCCTTATTAACTCAAAAATGAAGCAAGCAGTGACTATAGAGAGACAGACTCCTGTCTCCCCTGATAAGATCTTAGCCTTGGCTCGTAGGATCATGACAAAGATTACTAGGATCTTTGATCTGCTGAATGAAACTCACAAGTACCGCTGAAAACATAGTGTTGTGCTCCAAGGGAACACTCGTACACAAGCAACCAGATTCCACGGTTTTTACTTTTTTCCACTTGGGGGAAAAAACTTTAGCAAAGAATGCTAAATTGGCTGAACAGTCAGATTAGATTACAAAGCAGAAAAACTATTAAGTATATTGTTTCATGCACCTGCAGTTTAATGTTTGTATAACTGACATTAAAGCCAGGCCTTATGGTGCAGCAACAGATCTAGAAAAATCAAAAACAACCAGAAGGAGAGAAAATGAACAAGAATGTGCCAGATTTTGAAATATCTATATTAAACTAAATGTAATGTACTCACAAATTTTTATGTAATTATTCAATTTTTTTTACATAAAACATAACGTGTATGTATTATTTAAACCACATTTAAAATAGTTTCTGATTTTCTTTGGTGAACTTTAAACTTTCTTTAATAATTTTAACTTCTTTTTTAATATCATGTTTTATCTTTATCACACGGGTGGCGTGGTGGGGGGTTAACCAATGAATGTGCGTGAGAAACAATGGAGCAAATTGTCGCATAGACAGTTTCTTACTTCATCACGACTCGTGTTTGTTTTGTGAATTTGCACCGTTCCACCTCCAATTTAAAAATGATGTGCAGAAAAGCTGTGACCAAGTGCAAATGGGCTATTGTAGGCCTGGCTTTTGTAAATTGTAGTGTGCTGGACCCAAGCGAACTTAAAACAATCTCAGGAGTGTTCGTGAAAATAACATTCCCCACTGTGGTGTTTTGAGAAAAGCTTCTTTGTGAAAGGAAGCATCATTCTGCCGTAGATGGTTCTCAATCATGATGATAATTTTTTTTGGCAAGGAGACAAAGTTAAAGTGCTTGTAGATTGAGAAGATTTACAGTAATCTAAGTGTCTGGAATAGCCAAGCACAGTTTCTTTGAAAATTCCGCTTCATAGACATTGTGTTGACCATCTGGGAAAGTTAACACTTCAGCAGTTGCTTTACTTTGGTTGAGCACCGCAATCTACTGTAATGCATGTTTTAATGTTTAAAATGTTTAATGACTTTATATGAAGTAAAACTCTCTCCCCTCTGCCCCCTCACAGACAATCTCAAGCATTATGACAAAATCTTATTACCAGTGTTGACAATCTGCATCTTTCTCTTTAAAAATCTAGGTAATTGCCAACACAAGTTTTCTTCCTGTAACGGTGCTTTTCTGATACTGGGAATCAAAGTAAGATTAGAATTGTTCTCAGAATTAACCCTAAGGACATGTTGATTTGTAATGCGATCAGAGGCAAGGCAAAATTCCATATGAACATAGCAATGTTAAATGAATTTCAACACCATTACACTCTTTGAGCAAACACTGCCATTTGCTTCATACAATGTCTTTCTGAAAACACTTCAGCTCTTTGTTCTACAAAATCTTTTGAACAAAATCCTGAACCTTAACATTTTGACTTACAGGGTTTTATATTTGCAAAGCGGTTCTTGGATCGGTTCCAAGGCAAGTCAGCATCAGACGATGTGAGTTCTTGACCTACTTTTGGAAGTTCCTGTAACAAAGGAATATTTCAACGGTCACTTGGGATATCTAGGCCTAATAAGAATGCTCATGAACAGCCACTGGATCCTAGTTATTATTAAACTTCCTGCAAAAGAGATCTATTTTAAAAAAAGGTTATGCATTCCCGTTTCAGCCTTAATATTCATGGTATAAAACTATTTGCGATTATTCAAAGAGTGTAAACCTAAAGATGCAATAGCTATTAAAGCTGGAACCTTTTTTAAATATATTAAAAAAATGATATATGTCAGGCTGCAGGAAGAATCAAAAGTCTATTCATTTTTATCCTCTCACGGAAACCGTGGGTAACCTCTTCAAGATTGAGGCAATTTTCACCTAGAGTGAGAAAAAGGACAATGTTTCTCATGTCCCTTATTATCAATGCAGAACAAACATGAAGAGGAAATTTCAAATTGTTGCGAATTATTTTATGGAGGCGTGTTGATACATTTAAACACTACCCTAAGGTCATCAGTCTTCAAATGTAAAGCAACCTCTTCAATTTAAACCACTACACTTTCAGTGAGGTGAATGAGTGAGGTTAGATATCATGAGATTCATGTCACCCAACCCACCAAGATACCCGTCACACATTATACCTGACTGGTTTTAGTTCATATATGAATAATGTGGATACTTTTTTGGGTAATATTAATCATCCTGCTGTAAAAATGATTCTAGTTGAGTCCCATTCCAGAAAAGACTTAATAAATGTTAAACATGAATGAAACATAATGTCTTCCTCCCTGCCCACACATACATACATAATACTAGAGAGAAATATTGCTCAGTTTGGATCTAGGTTAAAACACAAAATGGGAAGAGAGAGTGAATGACAAGTCTGACTTTTGACATATACATAATGTTTACAGTGTACTGTGGATTTACAAATCATGTAATGAGAATCATTTGTGTGTAAATACAACTCCTGATCAATGGTACACAAAGAGGTGAGAGTTGCGTCGAGGACACTGTGAATAAAATGATGTACAGTCCCACACGTAGAGCATCTCCAACATTGAAAGAGTTAAAAAAAAACAGTATTTACATAATAAAGTATAATTTTCCTATTTCTGAATCACATTTTGTTTCCATCATTTTACTCCTATTTGAACTCTTCAGACTTCACATCAGCCTTCCTCAATCAGGGTGATGGGCCAGACCTAGTTTTCTTCCTAGTCATTTTCAGCTATTTGCTCAGAGATACAATTCCAAATACTGCCCGTGAGACACCTCTCACCTATGCTCTTCTGCTAGAGCTGCCTGCACAGAATAGCAAAATATTTTTAAAACTATAAATTTGCTAGATGAAACGCTCTCTCATTCACTATGACATCCTACGCCCTGGCAATAGAAATATCAATGTGGGGAGGTCTGCAGAGGTTCAGCCTACACTGACACGGTTGGTGAAGAGTTCTGATCAGGTTGCCACATATAGTGAAGAACCTAAATCAGTGTAACATTACTATGCAAACATTAAACCTGGTAATTAGGTATTGACTATCACGGTTGCAGTTCTTACTGGTCTCACTTGCCTCAAACTAGACATGAATTGTGACACATGAAGCTGCTAAATTCTTGGTGTGTTGTGACAACTGTTGGTGACATACCGAAAATTCTTCTTGAAACTTCAGATTGTTGTTAACACACAGGTCTTCAACATGTTGCAGGAATGATTTCTTGTTAACGGGTCTGTGGACAGAGGAAAATAAGACCAACAGTGCGTATGAAGTCCTATTATTTTGTTGCTGATGATAATCGTAGATTATTGTTAAGCAGTCTGCTGTTATGTCTATGTACATCTTTAGAATTCTGCACAACCATGCAATATTTACCGAGACAATGTATGTGGACGCAAAGCTCTTTACAAACTTCTTATTTGTACCAGAGGAAGATCTTGCTGGATTGGAAATTTGCAAAAATAATCCAAATGACTTCATTTTGATAATGACATGCTTCCTGCACTGCAAGGACTTTAAATAAGCCCGTATTGCTTCCAAAGCTAAAACACAGACATGTAAGGTTCATTCAGGAGACGGGCAGAAAGCCCTTCTCCAGTTACCATGCAATTAGTCATGCATTTATGATTTATAGTCCGGTTGGAGTTTTAGCTTTTAATCCATCCGAAAATGGAAGCAAAATCATAGATCGAATGCTATCAAAATCATGAAAAAGAACCATGAACAGCATCCTGCAATTGACTTACTTGAGAGACTTCCTATAACTGAGTAGCCTGCAATGTAAAGATTTTGTAAGGTTCCATAAAATACACTGCAATTCATTTCAAGACAGGATTATTAAGTTCAGAAATGTAACAAAGTTGTGGAAAATGCAACCAATCAAAAATTACATTTTACATAGAATATGGGATCACATTGATTTTAACTAAGGGAATTAAAATCCTCTTTGTAAATCTTTGGGATCTGACAAAGTGAATTTAATACAGTATAACTGAATCTTCACTACGGCAGATGGGGCAATGTTACTGCATTTTAAAGGATGCACACACACAGGGTCTGATGGTTATTCACTTTAACAGACTTTTCATAACATGAATGCTGTCACCAAAATTTTGGAATAACATGACTTGCTGCTATTTCATTTTTAAACCACAATCAGACTTTACAATTGCAACCATTTCACCTGAATATGAATTGATTTTACTTAGTGAATGCAGACTTAACTTGCTTTACCTTTTGTGTGCGTATTGTGTGCATAGCTATGATTAGCTGATGCATTAAGATAGGTGAGGTGAGCAAAAAAAATGGAGGCAAAAGTTTAGGACTTTAAAAATCTGCACAACCTTGAATGGGATACAAGTAGATGGTAGTTTAGCTGAATAGTTAAAAGTGAATTCCCTTTTATTCCATTGCTGCAGATAGAAGGACTTGACAATGTGTGTTAATAATGTAATTTTGCAAGTAATGGGGTTCAAGACCAGCAAATATCTTACCTAAAATGTTAACTGTAACATTATCAGGTGAAATTATACCTAATTCACCTACAGCTTTTATAAAAATATTGAAGTTTTTTTTTTGATCTGGGATCAATAATTTTAGATTACCTTAAATTCTATTATTTCTATTAATATTCAACTCCAATGAATTTATATATGCAAATTTGCCTTCTAAAACTCATATGGATTATAAAACTGGCCACTTTCACAGCTGTTCACATTGACATATTTACATGATTTTTATTCCCTAAATATGTCTTTCACATTTAGAGTATTGATTTTACTTTAAGCTCAGTTATATCTGATCTCACAGCTGGACTCTGAATAACTTTTTATAAAATTTGCTATGGTCATAAATATTATGGCAGGCTTGCATGACTACAACATTAAGGTACACATACACCCCAAGTGTTTGCTGAGAAACTGTAATCCACAATTTGATTGAATTACTAATAAAAAAACTAAAACACAACAGCATGCTCTGCAGTTAAGCGAACTGTTACATTGCAACTTCTCCCAGTGCTGTTATTATGAAGATACAGACATTAACAAATATTGTGACTTATTAAATAAGTTCAATCATTCAGCAACACTTTCATCCATTTGTATGTCATATCAGTGCATGCAAAATCCATCCACCATCAAAACAACGAGGAAAATATACTCAAAAGAACTCCAATCACTCTATTTTATGCTTAATTTGGTCAAGATTTGTGTAATATACAGTGAAGCGACAAAGTTGCAATCCACCTATAAGAAAGCTGGGAGAATTAAATTGACTGCACCAGCCCCCTGACTTGCTACCTGCATGCCAGTCGGCTCCTCCGCTAAAAAAAATACTGACCATCAGATCGCCACAGTTCCTGTATTATATATATGCTCAATGTAGGAAGTTACACAGTGGAAACCTGATGACTCAGAAATGGGCCATTTTTAGCACCCTGGGAAACACACAGGAAGTGAGTCACTGGCTACATACACATACACACTGTCAATCTGGTCCACACACCCTTGGAGGTATAAACAAACCAGTGCTCTCATGAAGCGTGTTATAACTGGTCTGCACTCTACCTTGTTAAGACATATATAAGTGGTCACTCATTCATTTGTGATTTAGAGGTCCATTACTAACATCACTATTCACTACCCCCAAATGATTGCATGGTGATAATTTTGCCTTTTTGGTCAGTTCTAAAGAAGTTCATTCTTTTTTTTTGCCATGACTGGATGTAAACACCTGCAAACCTGGAGAAGAAGCTGTAGGAAGAGTAACCAAGTCTACAGAGGCATTGATTTGGTTTGTCTTAAACAGCATTTCAAAGCCGCACATTTTAAACCCCATTAACTTTCCATGTTTCTCACAGCCCTCCACTTGCGGTACCTAGTTGCCGTGAACATTTTTGTCTTGGGAGGAATTACGATTAAGTGATGTAATTTAGAAGCTGTAATTTCTGTTTAAGCCCCACTTCCCCTGTCTATGACAGTTTCATGACTTCAGTGAGAATGATGTTATGGGGCTGGGGATTACATAAGAATTATTAGTCTGCAGGGACTCATAGTTCAAATCAGGAAAATAAATGTCATAGTATCCTAGGAGCCTGAGGCACAATAGTGGTCTGATTATAGGAGTAAGAAATAGTTAAAATCATCAACTAAATGGAGGAAGCAGCAAGTAACACCCCAACATGAATAACTTGTTACTGATATTTATATTTTCTGTATAAAGGCCCCTCATGTTAAAGATCTGCTTTCACAGTGACTGCAAATGTCTATACAGTAATTTTAGCTTGGACTAGAAAGGTGAGTTAATTATAATAATCTTTGTTCTGAAACTGTATTCAACCAGTTGAGTTTGAAAGTGTATTGCACTTAGGATTGCAGAGAGTGAAATTCAGCTAAAAATTCCCTTCTGAGTAACATCACTTGATACAGTTTGTTTGAAATTGCACTGAAACACATTGAGATAGCAAGGTTTCAAAAGAATGAGCAGTCCACTTACTGGATGACAAAAATTTCCTTGCGTCTAAAAAACAACGAGGAATAACTGAGAAGAAAGGAGCCATCAGAATATTAGTACATAAACAGCAATCATGTCAATATCAAAATAAATGTTCCAAGCTGTATGTATCAAGCATGCTTCAGTTTTTAGGTCAGTCTGATTAATGGCTCAGAGCATGTGCTGGTGACATGCAGAGCTGCTGTCAGCAGGTTAACCAGCTTTATTGTTGAATAACACAAGCAATTCTTTAAACAAGCCATCAGCACAGGTGGACGCACATTCCCACACAGGGTGCAGCACATCGATCAAGCAGCATATGCTCGAAAGCACCATCGCTCTGTGTAGGGTTAATTCTAGCAACTGCAAATTAGCAATTCACCAGGCTTGTACAAGCTTGTACAGCTTGTCATCCTTCGGCAGCACAAACAAACAGTCGCATAAACAGCTTGGAAATAAAAACAAAAGTACTTTTTGAAGATTGAAGTTCTCAAGGTTTATGACTGTAGGATGCTAATATTGTAACTCAAATGGGTTTCTTAATTTTAAATGAAAACCAATAACCTGAATGCATTTACTTCAGGTGATGACAGACATAGTTAAACATTACATACAGGTGGATAGTAGATATTGTATCTAGAAAGAGATGGAAAAACATTGCCTGTAGCTACTTATCGATGAGGAAAAGGCAACCCCTTACTATCAAGTATATTTGAGAGGAGAGCGTACCCAAAGATAATTATCGATGATCCTTGCAGTTGATATGCAACAACAACAATTCACATTTATATTGTGTCTTTCATATTGGGAGGATGTCTCAAAATGCTTCACACAGCTGACTAGAAACCCACCTGATAGCAACTTATCACATCATCGGAATGTCTCAAAAAGCCCTTCACAGGCTCTACTATCAATTGTAATGACTGTGTCCTTTGTAGGCGAATGCAGCAACCAAATATGCATACAATTTTAAACAGCCATAAAGTGAGTGATCAATTTTTATCTTGGGGGAATTGTTGGCCAAGACACCAGGAGAAACTTTTTTTTGGATCTTTAAAGTACACCTGAATAGGCAGATGGGGCCTCACCTTAATGTGTCATCTGACAGCCATCACCTCTGACAATGCAGCAATCCACTCCCCTAGTACTGTATTGGAGTATCAGGACTGGATTATGAGCTCAAAGTCCTGGTGTGTGTCTTGAACTCACAACCATTCATACTCAGAGAAAAGTGTTACCTACAGTCTGACATGTAAAGATTATGAGCAAAACATTGTATAGTAAGGATAAATTTTTGGTGTGGCTGAATAAGAACTAGAAAAGTAAAGTCAGTAAATGCCTAAAGTCGTTATTTAAACTGATGCATCTGCTGTCAGTATTTTAGATTTGTTATTGTAATTTCCTGATAGCATTTCTCACCCTTTAGACTTTTGTTAAAAAAAATTGGTGTCTTGTTTTAATCTGGTATCTAGTTAAGGTCATGTGATAATATCAACCTTTTTGAGTTAGGTAGCGTGGCAAGTGTTTATGTATAAACCCGGTGATCAGAACAATTAGTACGGGATGATTACTATTCACTCAAAATCACATGGTGTACTTGTTGGCAGGATCTTTGACTGAAGCAGGTCCTCATTTACTGTCGACTCTCATGGTAGTAAAATCCTTTTTGTTGAGATTTTAGACCAAGAAGCCTTGGGTATGTTCTTCCTCAAGGTCAGAGACAATCTTTACAAGAATTTGGTTGTTTTGTCAGGAAAATGTTCTGTCAGGGACTGGCAGTAGCTCAGGTCAAAGGTTAACAAAGGTCTTTTGGGCAGATAAAGTGAGCTTGCACTGGGAAGAGGGTGAATTTAAAGATTCAATGAACTTTTCAAAAAATTAAAATAGCTTCTACCCTGGCCAACAACCCTCCAGATTAACCGGTCAGGTTGTTTTGTAGGTCCTCACTGGTTAACAATGGCTGCTGAGTTTGTTTACGAAAACAGGCACTACAACAACACCTTGCATTTATATAGTACCTCTTACACAGGGTAGCGTCCCACTTGATTACTACACTTGGTAGTAATTACTTGTGAAGTGCTTTGATATGCTTTGATGTGACAAGGAGGTATAAAAATGCAAGTTGTTTCTTTTGTTATTAGAAAGAGCGTAAGTTCAACATATTATATGCCCATGTTGTTTAGCTCTGTCCCTGACTGTACATGTCATATATTTCACATCTTTAAAAAAGAATTAATTTGAAGCACGACATTCCAACATTAGCCGTTTTGTTTTTCATCCAACTAGTACTTTAGGAATATTTTAATGGACAACTTCCATCTAAAGAAACTTACACAGGAATTAGCAAAACAGGCACATGGGTTAACAAATGTGCCCATTGTTCAGAGATCTTCAAATCAGATCTTAGCAGTATATTGCATTTCACATAAAATAGCATTCATTTAAAGATTGTATGAATTGTTTATTTTCATTAGTAGATTTCAATGCAATATTAAGTTCATTTTGTTCCTATCTTTATTCACGCACAAAACTGTCATCACAAGTTACAGTATATCCTTTGAAGTGCTTTGAGAAATCCTCCAGTTTTGAAAGACACTATATAAATGAAATCCAATGATTACAAAATTATAACCGGTGAGCATATCAGAACCACTTTTGAAAATAATCTTTATGCATTCTACTTTATTTAACATATAGTTCAACTAACATTTTATGTTTCATACTTGCTTCCTTCAAGAATTGTGACAGTTATTATTATGACGGCCTCCAGTATTAAATTCGTAATTAATCACTGCTTCTGACAAACTGTGATACATAAGAATAACCAGGATATTTCCTTGAACTCTTGAACTTTCATGACTTATAATTGTTATTATTCCAGATGCACTTGTTCAAAGAAAGAATCCCAAAAAGCCCATTCACACGCAAAGATAATGCTAATATGAAGATGTGAAATATTAATAGGAAATGCATAACTGTATATGTAAAACAGATCATACTCTCACATTGATTACATGCCCTGGAAATTGAATAAAATATTTACTTATTCAAGGGTCACCTTCCAATAAAGCACTCTTCTCTTCAAAGAGTTCCCTTGTCCTTTACCCCTTCTATTTTCTTGCGTTTCAAAAGGAGAGGCAATCCACAGAAAAAGCACAATCACAAGTTGACATGCCAAACATCATGTACCTAGCAAAACATCAAACGAGCTATGCTTTCGTCAGATTTGTGAAATGCACCCAAGGTTTCAAAAGTGAGAGCAAGCATTGAGACATTTATTCCAGCCAGAGGGGAGATTGCCTGCTTTTATGTACACTGGTGTGAAGTGCCTAAAAGATGGAGTTTGGCCTTTGAAAAAGGAATTGATTGACCTCAGTAAATAACAGCAAAGCAAACACTTCCAAACAAGTAGAGGTCAGAATAGGGTCAGGAGTAGGACCACAGGCCCTTTGGTTGCCAGGATATTGGAAGCTCACCGTGTCAGGGTCTCCTCTTTTAGTTCCAGGTCTGCCACTGCAATCGTCTGGTCCAGCTTGGACTTTGTATCAATAATTTCGGCCTCCCTTGGGGAATATGTACCTCCTTCCTTCTGCTTTTGTCTTATTCTACAACATAAATTAAATAGATGGTGAAAAGTCAGTTCAATCCAAATGCAGAGCATAATAGGTTAGGTGGAAACATCTGAAGGTTAACAATATTTGTGCTCCATCTTCTCTGTCCTTTTGTATAATATTTTCAATATTACCCAGACAAGTGAAAAAAAATTCAATTTCTCATTTTAAGCAAATCAACTGCACAACAGTCCATAATTCAACATCAGTTAGTGCTCATGTGAATCACCACAAAATATACAGTATAAATTTGGGATGAGCCAGTGCGAATTATCCTGAGCCACCCTAGACAGTCACAGCAACGGAGTACAAATGCATCAAAAGGCAAAATACTGCAGATGTTGGAAATCTGAAACAAAAACAGAAGTCGCTGGGAACATTCAGCAGGTCAGGCAGCATCTATGGAGAGAGGAAAGTTCAGGTCAATGACCTTTCGTCAGAACTCAACTGCATCAATACTGGCTTTAATCCCCAGTGGAACAGATATATGAAGTCAATTAGATTGAGTGTGATAGTCATGCTCCCTGATCCCAAATACCAATCTTGGTGCTGAACATGAGCCTGAGTTCAGGCCCTCTTTGCTGAATAAAGGCTGCCATACTGGACATAACAGTTAAAAAAATACATCTGTATTAACTGCATTAAATAATGTAATGAATACTCTACAGCTTACTAATGCAGAGTTGAGGACATTTTTATTCCAGATTTATTGATGAGTCAGAAGAGATGGTCAGCCATCAATAACCCTTTATTCTAATCCAGAACTACCTGGCTCTTCCAGGCATATCTCCTCAAATTCAACCCCAGGGTGACCTCATTAATCTTCCCTTCCTACTAGCAGGATATATTTTTAGACATGGTGCATATTTTATTTACCCAAAAATGGATGTAGGACTGAGGTGAAGCACCAAGATTAGAATACAGAACCTTCTTAGTTTCAGTGCTCAATTAAGTCTGAGAAGCAGTAGGTAATCAACAACAAATTACATCTGTACAGGGCATTTCACATCAGGAAAACGTCCCAGGGAGCTGTTATCTGCTGGGACCAGGAGGAGGCTACAATTTATATCCTATAACACCCCCAGAAGTTTCAATTCTTGTTCACCTTACCTTGCAATCACAAAGATAGCCACGACAAGCAAGATGATAGAGAGCACACACAAAGTCACTGCAAGGATGATTTCAATAGTTCTTCCTGACAGACCATCTGCTGTAATAGAAAGAATACATATATATGAAATAAGGCCATAAGTCACTGTGCACAAGTCAAAATACATAAGTGTCCAAGATGTTCACATCAAAGAATATCTAATACTCTACAGCTTTTTGTGAGTTACTGAATTTTTATGACTGTTTTGCAACCAATTGTATCAGAAACCAAAGTGCAAATTTTATATCCGATGTCATCAACCATGGTTACAAATATTAAGTATTCATGCCTTAATTGCTAAGGCAATCTACAGTCAATATAATTTACAGGTATGAGTGGAAATATTTTGTCACAAATATTTTTTGTGCACTTACCTTACTGCTAGATTTATATTGCATAATATCTATATCAAATTACATGGCAAATATTATTTTAATAAACCTTTCTAAATTTACAGAGTGGTAACAAATAATGTTTTTCTTCAAATGGGAATAAATAAGTTAGAAATTTAAACCAGTGATTGAAAAAACAACCTTGGCATAGAAAAAAATTATATTTGGACGCTTTCATCCTAGGATCAGTACTTACGAGGTAGCATGTTTTATTAAATGGTGTTTTGGTTTTAGCCTTTTTTCAGATTTTACCAGCTTAGGCTTCACGATTTGCCATTTAAACCTCATAATATAAGTATAACCGTTAGTGTGTAGATTGGACTGTCTGGTTTTCCAATCATTTGACCTCTTGAACAGTTTGAACAATGAACACACACATCTAAGAACTGCAGGAAATAATGTGAAGTACAATTGGGAAAACACAAGACACTTGTTTCGCCAGCAGTAGCTGCATTACCTTTGATCTGAACAAAGCAACAAAGTTTTGTTTACACAGGTTTGTTTAACTGAGTGGATTAGACTGCTGTTNAAAAAAACATTCGACTCTACATTCTGGTTCTTCTGTATTATTATTTCTGCTTCTTATTACTGTTTATTAATGGTTGGAATTAACATTGCTTTAGAAACTGCTTTTAAAAATTGTATGTGGCAGATCTATTGAACTATGTTGTTTTATTTGATCTAAGAAATGTTCAAACGACATTCAAACCTAATGAGGTTAAATGTGGTGGCATAATTGACCTTTTTAAGTTGCTTTTTGCAATGACATATACTGTGAGGAACTCAGGAGCTTAACAATATAAATAACATTGAATATAAATAACAGAAGGCACTCCGGATGAATGGGAGCTATATATCACTTCACTGATGTGCCCTGTTTCCTAGAGACAGATGATTATATCCCAAGACAGGCTCTGATATCACTAAAGCTTCTTGCTTACACTAATCCTGTCAGTGTGAAACTCATGGCCAGAAAGGAGTGAGTTTGTGTTACACTGATTGAAGGGTCTTTATATTGTAAACTTTAGACGGAACGTTTCACTGCTCTGAGACGCTACCCTGTGTGACGGGCGCTATATAAATGCTAGTTGTAAAATTATAAAATTCATTTTGTAATATAAATGGAGGTAAAGACTTAGAAATATTGCGCTCTAATTGATATTATTCAATAAATATTTATTGCTAGCGATACTCTGTTGAACTCATCACCTGAAGAAAGTGATTCAAAATTATCTGAAAAATGTAAGATTTTAATAATGTAATAAGCACCACATAGAAATGGGTTTATGTATTAATAGTCATTGCATTTAATATAATGCCTTGAAAACATCTCAAAGCGTTTCACGTGATTTACTGTAAATAATAATAAACCCTGCATTTGATATAGCGCTTTTCACGTCTTCTGGACGTCTCAAAGCGCTTCACAGAACATGCTGTAAAGTGAATTGACTGTATATTTGTGGGCGAAACGCGGCAGCCAATTGCGCACAGCAGTGTCCCACAAACAGTCGTGGATTGAAAATGAACAATTTATTATTATTTTTTTGGAGAGATTATTATTAGGCGTGTGGAGTAAGGAAACTTGCCCAAGGTTTCACCCTGCCTGGAATTGAACCCAGCTGACTCACTTGCAAGGCGAGTGCTCTAACCACTGAGCTACTGGACTCCACAAGTGTAGTGAATGCATATTTGTAGATGAATGTAACAGCCAATCTGTGCACTGCAATGTCCCACAAACATTCATTAAGTTAATGACCAATTTTATTTTAGTTACTTAGACGTGTAAAATTAATGAGCACTTTGAGCCTTTATTACCATGGTTTTGTCTATCACGAGCAATGTTTAATGTTCATGCTGAGCAGACCTCGTCAAGAATAATCCATTAACCAATAATTACACCTGCTCAATAAAGTTATCGTTTGCTCCTGAAAACATGAAAGGTGTGTCTAATCCAACTAGGAATCATTATGATGAACAGAAGAAGGCAACTGAAAATAACTACTGAGAATGGTGACTTATTTTAACTGTTAATAAATCTTTCGCTTTACATTTAGAGCAGGATATAATTAATGATGGTTAAAGCCCTGAAGCTAATGACATTGCATTGTGCTGAGGGGTTGAAAATGTACTTGATTTGGCAGCAGATGTATTTTAAATACTAATTGCAATGTTCTGGTATGCTCTTGTGTTTTCTTTTTGCTGTGGAACTGGGGAAAGAAGAGTAAATATAGCACAGGCAGATTAAAGGGCCGTTACGTCTTCTCTGCTGGAAAAAAACTAATTAAAGAAATAATCACAATGACCATTCAAATGTCTGCACCATGGCGATCCATATTTTGTTTCATTTACTGAAACATCTGACGGTCAGGATGGTATTCCACTGCCCCACCTGAAAAACATATTTATTGACACCACTGGGCCAGACAGTGTTTGTACCAGTGTGACAGTGAGAAGTGATGGTGAACACACTACAGTGTTGATTTGTCTGACCCTGAGGCTGCCATATTGATATGGATCTACTGCACTGTCGTTAATGGAGAATTGAAATGCATCTCCTGGTTTGTAAGCTTCTAATGCCAACACGGCCGTGCATCAAAAGGCAATGTGCGCATTATGCACAGATAATTGAACACATATTAATTCTATGTTGGATCTGTTACCCAGGGTTCTGACTGGATCAGAGTATTCTGAGTCTGTAAACTGCATCTGGAAGTTTGTTGCTCGAAATTTGAACCTAGAACGAAAAAAAAATTTTGTGTAGAAAAGTACCTGTAGAAATTCTTAAACAGATATTTACTTCCAAGGACATCCTGATAGGAAAACATGAAAACAATTTAATTTAATGCAATCTAAGTCAAGGAAGATGATAGTGAACAAATATGTTGTATGTGTAAGCTGTCATTTTACTCTATTCAAACTTTCACAGTGATATAAATCGTACTCAAATTTTACTTACAGGTACTCTTTATTGGGCTTTAGAGGTCCATTGCAGATTTTCCCTTTACTTCCCACAGACTGACAGGATTTTTCAGCTCCAATGATATATGTCTCTTTGTTAACACTACGTCTATATTTGTTTTTGCTATCACATGACAGATTTGCAAATCCCTCATTCGCAAAATATGGTTTGGGCTTCTTTAAATAGGCTTCATACCATGTAGAAATATTTCCATTATTGATACCTGTTAAGAAATTTGACATAAAATTACATAGAACATTATAGCACGAAAACAAACTATTTGTTCCAACTCACCCAATGAGTGTTTCTACTGTACTCTACGTGAGTCTCCACCTCTCCTCATCCCCTCTCCCAAAACTTTCCCAAATCCTTCTGCCTCTTCTATGCAATTAACTGCATGTGAAGATGAACTTTGAAGCTCAGAACAGCCTGAGCAGCCTGGTGAACACAGATCGTGACAAAACGATAAATATTGATACATCAATATTTGCACAATTATCATGTTGCCACTACCTTGCAGCAAGACTGTTCAAGATTAATTTATAGTACAGTATTTTTTGTGTCTCTGCAACACTAGATTGTTCAATTCGTTAGGTTTGCAATCTGTCAAACTTTTTTCCATAAATTTTCACAGGCTGATATGGTCTACGGTGATAAAAACTCTTTTTGATTGCTCTGAAGGTATGATATCACTGTGATGTTTGGCTTGATAGTAACATCATTCCAAGATGACTAAGATGATAATAATTATCTTGAATTCAACACCTAAAATGCTTCATAAAGTTTCTGTAAAGTGTACTTGACTGTGATTGTATATTTGTAAGGTATTGTGGCAGTAATTTGCATATAGCAATGTTCCATAAACAGTTATGAAGTGAATGACCCAAGTTTATCTATTGGTTAGGTAAAATTCCCTTCTTTTTTTGAACAGTGCAATATAATTTTTATTGTCCACCTGAATAGCACCTCAGTTTAATGTTTCATCTAAATGGAATCTTGTTGTTGAAGGGTTTTATACAGCACTCCCCATCACAGTATTGGAGCGTCAGCTAGACTGTGAGCTCAAAGTCCTCATGTGGGGTTTAAACTCACAACCTTCTGACTTAGAGGCTTGACTGCTACCTACTGAGCCAGGCTGACACCAATACGTTACCAGGTTAAAACCTCAAGAGGAATCCCCCTGAAGAAACGCTCCTACCTCTTATTTCAGTCACAATTACTTGGACTGTCTTGACGGGTCCGTGGTCATCTCTGAAATAACAGTTCGGCATTCTGATCTCAATAGTAGTGGACTTGACTGACTTAACTCCGGAACTGTCCAAAGCAACAGATGGCTTTTGATCAGGTTTAGGTGGAGCTGTGGAAGATACAATGATCAGAATAACATTGGTCATACAGGTTTGTGTGTCTGGATCTGCTGTACACGTTTTTTTTCATTAATGGTCTAATTATAGTGATAAAGAGAATGTTTAATATAAATATATCTTCACACTGGATGTACTCTTGGATCTGTGCAGATAGCTCCTTAATTGTGATATTAATAAAACATTTGGAGCAGTGATTTGTCTCCAGTTTCAGCTATTTAGAACTCACTACAGCGAATACTGTGTATTTACAATCTTACCCCTGGAGTAGATTGTGCAGTCATGCCATTAGTCACAACACAAAGCTGTATCCACTCATTTCACAACTTTGCTTCATACGGATTTGCTGGTCATGACTCATTATTGATGGTTATGGAGGTCAATTTGAATGTTGGAACAACTGATGAGGGTTGGAAAGTTATTCACCTTATGGCGTTTGAAAACCTACCTTTGATGCCCATTGTTACTCTCTGTTCACTTGTCTGTGGCCCAACACCAGCTCCAGTTATAGCACGGACCTTGGAAAATATATTTTTGGATTTGAATATAGACAGGAAACAAACTTGCATTGCTCGAGTAAACCTTAACACATACCAAACATGTTCTGTTACTAAATTGTGACTTGCTCAGTTTTATGATCATCTTGAAAGAATACTTTGGGAACATATTAGGGAAAGCTCAGCTCTTGCACTGACAAGCAGCACTATCTACCAATGCTTAGGCTATTCAGCAAATACAATAAAACATGTCAATCTGATGCATTCATCCACAACTTTAAAATACAGCAAAATGTTTATAGGATTGTTACACAAGAATGTTACACAACTGAAACATGCCTCAAACATTGTTGTTATTAAATACTTTCTTATGTTTAGAAAACAAAGTTAGAAAGGATTTGTTTTTGAAACAAAAATAGCACTTACATTGCTCACAGTGAAAACAAAAGGATATAATGATGATGCAAAAATGTTTAGACGAGTTAACAGCTGAAGAGATGAACCAACATCTATATTCATAATCAATCCGGTTAAGAGTCTGCAATGCAGCTCTCATTAACATGAATACATTTCTTTAATAATCTTTAAAATGTTCTTACTTTTATTGTGTACGTGTTTCCACCTTTTAGCCCTTCTATGACAGCAATAAGTGATTGATTATTGTCAATAATTTTAAGATTGTCCACACGGATATCAGAAGTGTCCCCTTCTTTGTGAATGATAGCCTGGTAACCATTAATATCACCACTGGCGTTAGATGGTGGTATGAAAGACACATACACCTTTGTCACTTCATCAGATATCTCCTGAAGAGTAAAATTCTCCGGTGCACCCTTTGGCACTAAAAAAAGACAATGAGTAGGGTTTATTTTGCCACTCAAAAACTTAATAGTTTTAAATTATAAAACTCAAACCATTGTGGAAAGTTACATTCATTTTGTAAATAGTAGGGAGTTTCATGTACACATATAATGTAATAATAATAATCCTTGCATTTGATATAGCCTTATCATGTCTTCAAGGTGTCTCAAAGCGCTTCACAGGATAAACTGTAAAGTGAATTGACTGTATATTTTGTGGGCGAAACGCAGCAACCAATTAAGTGTCTCACTTAATTCAGTCATGGATTGAATTGACCAATTTATTATTGAAAAAATTTGAAGAAATTATTACCCCCAGAAAAGTGATCCGCAAATCGACTAACAACCAGGTTCCTACTTACTGCTAGGTAAACAGAGGCGTTTGAAGTAACTTGCCCAACATTTTGTCCTGCCCATGAATTGAACCCAGGTCCTCTCGCTTGCAAGGCGAGTGCTCTAACCACTAAGCTAAACAAAGGTAACAGCCACTAAGTTTGAATGCTCAAAATATTGAGGGGTGGGGGGGAAAGAGACCTTGCATAATGTATATCCCAAATGATTTTAAAATATGACTTAATGGCAGTAGAAGAAAGGCTTACCTGCTTCAAGTGTTCTAATAATGACAGGCTCACTGGCTTTACCGTGAACACGGGCCTCTTCCTCTTTGCCAGTAAATGCTATGACTGTCACAGAGTACCTTGTGAATGGTTTCAAACCAAATATTTCACAAGTTTTGTTCTGATCCACTGTTTTAAGAATGGTTATGTTGAATTCCTGGCTATCCTCCTATGTGGGAGGAAAAATACATTGTTAACACAATCACTTAAACCAGTTTTACTTAAATGTAGAAGCAATAATAATAATAATAATCCTTGCATTTGATATAGCGCTGTTCACGTCGGGAGGACGTCCCAAAGCGCTTCACAGAACACACTGTAAAGTGAATTGATTGTATATTTGTGGGCGAACGCGGCAGCCAATTGCGCACAGCAATGTCCCACAAACAGTCGTAGATTGAAAATGACCAATTTATTATTGTTTTTGGTTTTGGAGGGATTATTAGAAGCACTTTACAAAGTATGATATGCATGGATTTGTTTTATGTTTTGTCTCTTCTTACTTGTGCTTTTGTACACATTCATTGCACTTGTGAACATTGAATTTCCAGTTCTCAATCTTGCTCATGGCAATGAAGTCTCTAGTATAGCCGTTTGACTATCTATTTATGGTCATGTTCTGTCTTTATGAAAATCAAATAAATGGTGTATTTCCACATCATTTTGTGGTCACTTAATAATACAACACCTGCAAACTTCAAATCACATATAATTTTGTATAAAAGTAATTGCATGTAAGTATTGCAGCTGCTTTCCAATATTATTTTTCCTTTAGTTTAAAAGTCATGTTTGATGAGCTCAACTGTAGTCTATTCACTAGGTGCTGTTTGTACAGAAGAGCAGCTGCTGAAGCATTTGGTCAGCCGGGCTGTGTAATGGTGTTACATGGTACACTTTGACAGATGTGCCTCTCTAACCTCACGAAGAGCTAACCATGACTGAAACTACTGATGCACTAAACAGACTTTCATTTCCTTTACTGACAATCATGCCTTTAATCTCAGCATTTATTTGTTGAATACACTGTCTTGGCAATTTACCAATTGCTGTGCAAAATTGAAAAAAATGATTTTCTAGAACTGCAGCAACAATGTGACGAGGCACAATTGCCATGGCATTTCTTTAACACAAATTATTTCAATGGTTTTGTTAAATAAAAAAATATTCCTTTTGAATCAGAGGCTGAAAACTATTTGAAAATTAAACGCTTTGCAGTTTATTGGTAGTGTGGTGGCACTGTTCACTGCTGCTTTTCACTATGCCACAAAATGACTGGATACATCCATGGGTGCCTCAACAACAACAACAAATTACATTTATATATAGCACCTTTCATGTCAGGAGGACATCCCAAGGTGCTGGATAGTGAAGGGTTTTCACCCGAGCTGGGGCTGAAATTAAGAGGGGTGAAAGTCAGAAGATGACCGAAGGCACGGTCGAAGAGGCAGGTCTTGAGATGGGCCTTGAAGAAGGTAAGGGAGGGACAAATTAGAGGGGCTCTGGGATGGATTTCCAGAGGGTGGAGGCAGAGAGCCTGAAGGCCCGACTTCCAATGGTGCAGCGGGCAGGGCACATATAGCAGGCCAGTGCCCCATCCGAGCGGAGGGAGTGGATTTCTTAGTGTAGTTTAGCAGAGGTAGGGAGAAGGAAGACCATGGAGGGCTTTAAAGGTGAGGATGAGGGTCTTGAACTTGATCCTCTGGGGGATGGGGAGCCAGTGAAGCCGGGCGAGGGTGGGTTGAGATAAGGATGATTTCGATGAAGAGCCTCCATTCCTAATCTTCGCTCTGCTATCATAAGCAGAGGCCACGTGACACTTCCCTATAAGTAGAGAGGGACAATTCCCAGAAAAGCCAACTGGCCTACTACAAGCAGTGGCAAACACCCCAGAATCAGTCACCTGCTTGTACCTTCAGCTTGGGGTTAGTGCCTAATGAGAAGGGAAAGAAAAATAAATTAAAATTCATGCCTGTGCTAGGATAGCTCCCCTTCTTGGGGCTACCTACTCTTAATCCAATTCCCTCATCTTTCTCCACATGAGTATTCACCAATAGGTGCTAGCGTGAGAGATAAGTGGGATCAACAGGGTAGAAATATTCACAGTGCTACAAGAGTTAAGTTCAGAAATTGTCCACAAATCAGAAACCATTGCATCAGAGCCACATGATGCCTGCCTGTTTATCTACTTCCTGAATTTGGTGGTCAACTGCCCTGAAAACAATAGTTGATTATGCAAAATACAAAGCTTAAATTGTCTGTTTTATTTTTGTGGGATATAAAGTGGTGGTCTTACCGTTATGACATCTATAAGATAGGAAGTTGGACCTGTAATTATTGCAGACTGCTCCCAGGTAATTACAATGGTGTCATGGGATATTGCTGTAACAGTTATATTTTCAGGAGGGCCATCTGGATCTATAGAATACAAATTGCTTGTCAAACAACAGGTAAAATTGTCATTCAGCATTAAACACTTCCAAGCAAAGAAAATCATTGGTATCAACTTTGCAGATTCTGCTGACAATGTTGGCATAATATTAAAATTCACTTAATGGCTGTTTGTGGAACATTGCTGTGTGCACATCGGCTGCTGGGTTCACCCACAAAACATACAGTCACTGCGCTTTCCAGTACATCCTGTGAAGTGCTTTGGGATGTCCTCCTGACGTGAAAGATGCAATACCAAATGTAAGGATTATTATAATTAAAATTACTATAAACAGGCCAAGTTACCAACATAATTCATTGTCTTAGTGCACTGTTATACTGTCTCAATGTAACTATCTCCATTAAGACACTGTGCGATGGATAGATTCTATTTCACCGGTCTGGATCATGCAGCTGCATTTAGACACTTATACCTGTCACTGTCCTTCACAACTTGAGACGTAAGTTGAATCCATTCCTTTGGATACAAGATTTTTTTTGTAAGTGATAACTGTAAAGAGTCAAATATATCTAGAGTTCTGTTTCAGTAAAGTCTATGGTAAACACAAAAGTACAAACTAAAAATGTAATAATAATGATTCATGTATTGGGTATTAACCCCTTTCTTCTTGGGAGGATGTCTCAAACGCTTCACATGATTCACTTGTAAAGTGTAGTGACTGTGTACTTTTGTAAACAAGCACAGGAAATAAAGCATATTATACAGATGAACATTCTGCGGATTTTCAATACACAGAAAAATATACTTTTGTGATATTGAAGAAAATGATAATAACATGCTAATTCAAACAAGGAGAAGGTGAGGGAAGGGGTAAGGGATACTGTTTAAATGTTGAGAAACATTGTTGGATTGTTTTGAGAGACTGGATTGTGACTTCTCCATATCACACTTGACACTTGACACTAGGGTTTATCAAGCTATGGTTGCTAACAACAGAGTTCTTTTGTTGCGTATTTACAATGGAAAAAGATGGTTATTTTTAGTAATTACTGCATGATAGCTAAATTGTCTGGGGATCTTTACCATGGTCAACCACATCATGGATGTTTGTGGTTCAATTGCTGTGCGCAAATTGGTTGTCGCATTTGCCTACAAATACAAAGCCACTACATTTGACAGTAAATCTTGTGAAGTGCTTTGAGAAATCTCAACGAGATATTTTTAACCAATAATTAATAAAATATGTAGATAAGAAAAACAGTTTATTTAAAAAAAACTGGGTGATTACAAATTTAACTGGTCTTTCACAAGGATTTCCATGAACTTTTCTTGGCACAGTAGTAACTGTCACAGACTGATTTAAGATAGTTTTAAATCAAGTCCAGTAGGTACTGGTGAAGGATATTGCTCGATCTCCTGCTTATAAATCATAGCAATTTGCTCTGTAAGAATCCTCTGTCTTCATTCTTTCCTTCCTAGATAATCTGTGCACTTCCTCTTCGGAACACTGTTTCTCTCCTTTCCACAATAATGCATTTTCTGTAACTAATAACCATAATTTTCCGATTATCATGCTTCTATCGCAGCATAGGAATTTGGGCCCTAACAGAGGTCAGGACATGCCTTTTCTGCTCTCTCTATGTCAGGCTGCTGAAGCTGTGGCTAGGAAGGTTTGTAAGAGGGTAAATCTGGATATCACATCACTCAGTGGCTCATCCTCAGAATAGTTCAGGTCAGCCTATTAACAAGCGCGTCACGTCTGCCATTTGAGCTGATAACCACTGTACAGAAATATGTGTCCCGAGGTGTCAATCCTTTAAGTAATGCATGTACTTGTATATTACATCTTTCAACAGGGCTAGATAAATACTTTTAATTATTATGTATGCTAATTTTGTGTTGTTACAGTTAAATCTAATTCTAATCATTCTCAATTGTAGCAGGTGTTTTATTACCCACAAAATACTATGCAAAGCAACAGTGTAGGTAATGAAACGCCATTCAATAAAAAGCAGTCTTCTTGGTTGGCTTTACCTTTAGTGCCCAGGGAGAACATTTATTATTTAATCCTATTTTACTATGCTGTAAACACAATAAAAAGGTGCATCAAAAATTACTTTTTAAAAAAATACTTTAATAAATATTGTTTATAATGAGCAATATTTCAATTGCGTTGATTGTAATTTTTAAAGATCTTAAATGATGAAGCAATAGAAAAGATTGATTTTCTCTTCAATTCATGGAGTGCTGAAGGGGTTCAGTGGATCGAGTTTAAGTTCCTTCTACTGTTCTGTTGGAGTGTAAAGCAATTGATGCCAGAAATATACACTTGAAATATTTTACCAATATTGACTATTTTCTGTTTGACCAGTGTAGATAAGTACTCTGAGGGTTCAAAGTATTTGTTTGATGAGAAATCCAATAATATTTAATGTTATTAGCTTTTCCCAGTGTGTTTGTCAACAATCCACCCTATAGAATTGGTCATTTACTTCATGGCTGTTTGTGAGACATTTGTAGTGTGCAAATTGGCTGTCACATTTGTCTACAAAATATGCAGTCGCAGAACTTCACAGTAAAATCCTGTGAAGCACTTTGAGACGTTTCGACAACATGATAAGGTGCTATATCAAATGCGAGGATTATTATTAATACCAAGTGAGTAAAATACCAGTAATAAGCACTTACTGCAGTTACAGAATCAACTCATTCCATACTTACAGCCAGCTGCTGTCTTTGCAGAAACCCAAGCTGAATAGTTGCCATAGTCAGCATTTGTACTAGCAGCAACTCTAAACCTGTACCATCGGAATTTCTTTAGCCCTGATACAGTTGTCTCTATGGTATCATCATCATCATCCTCTTTGCCATTTGTATAGTCTTTAACTTCCTCAGTTTCAACACATCCCGAAGTTTCCCAGTCAGTGCATGAGGCAGAGCGTAGGTATACAGTGATCCTGAAGAACGTTATGTATCCAGGGACAATCTCTGGGAGTTTCCATCTCAAAGTGACAAATGTTGACTGGATGTTGACTACCTCTAGTTTCCTGGGAGCACTGGGGACTGAAAGAGTAGAATTATATTAATAATCGTTTGCATTTTACCAGCCTGTGTAAAATCAGTAACATTCAACTTGAGCTTCCTTTGAAAGATCAAACCAAGTATGTGCCAACATTTTTCTGCAATAATAATCCTTGCATTTGATATATGCCTTACCACGTCTTCGAGATGTCTCAAAGCGAATCACAGAATATAATAATAATCCTTGAATTTGATATAGCGCTTTTCACGTCTTCTAGACATCTCAAAGCGTTTCATAGAATATACCATAAAGTGGTATGGTCAAGACTATATATTTGTGGGTGAAATGTGATTATTACCCACGGAAAAAGCGATCCACCAATTGACTAACAACTGAGTTCCTACTTCTGCTCAGAGAGGCATGTGGGGTAAGGAAATTTGCCCAACATTTCACCCTGCTCGGGAATCGAACCCAGCTCCTCTTGTTTGCGAGGTGAGTGCTCTAACCACTAAGCTACAGGACTCTATACTAAGCTAGAGGACTCCATACTAAGCTAGAGGACTCCACTTCAGATAAGATCCTCCCTCGTACTAAGCTCAAAGCAGGTCTTACATTTGTTTCTTTGAATAGATTGCAGTATTTGATCTTTATAAATTCATCACATGTTAAACTATACAAATGGCAATACATGAACATTTGTCCATAGATTGACTAAGGGGTACTTAGTAATTGAGGATCTTTGCTAGCTGAACGGGGGAACAGCAAATTCAGCAAAGGATGTGAAAAGCCGATTCAAGAATATTAAAATGACGAAGTGAGTGCTGGTGATGGTACTGGCTTATGTGACATTGACCTGTAACTGAATCAAAAGGCATCTAATGCGTCAGGGGTCACGAGTGAGAGATCTGAGCCGCGAAGACCTGAAAGTGAGAGCTGGATAATGTAATCATGTGTCAGTCATAAATGCATTCTTGTTGTTGGCAGTATACCAACAGGCAATATTCAACATAACACTGCTGATTTCTGATGAATAAGCAATTTGCCTTTGGTGGCGAGACCACCGTGAAGAAGGGACTTTGTGTCAGCCGTGCTGTGCAACACTGCAGCTGCTGCAATCTTAAACAACAAATAACACAGTCACTCCACTTTACAGTATTATATCAAATGTAAAGATTTTTATTATAAACTTAAAAACATTTTTTAAAAAGTCTGCTGCTAACTATCATTGTATTTCTAATGGTAGAAAATAGATGATTACCTAGTCAGCTTTTTTCTAACTTTAGACATGGATTACAGTAGCAGTCAGAGGTCAGTGAGCAGAGTTGTGTGAATGGATTTATAAACACAACTGTTTTCTCCTGATTTGACAGAGGTGCGAGCAGGTAATGCAATCACAGCTGAGAATTCATGCTGTTCACGGAAATGTCTCAGATACTGCATCACAATAACAACAACAACAACTTGCATTTATATAGCGCCCCTCTTGCAGGGTAGTGTTGCAGAGCGCTTAATAGTGAGCTTTTAATGGAGAGCTTTGTCTTTTTTTCTTATATCCCACATGATTGCGGCAGTGAATTCTACACATTTCTAGGTTGAAGATGTTGCTACATGCTACATTTTGTTTTTATCTACCATGTAAACCTTGCGATATTATTCTGATGTGTGACTTTTTAATAGTGGTTTAAGTTGACAAAAGGTCCGGTCAGAAGGTTTTATCATTAGAGTCCTAGATGCGAGTGGAGTGAGGCCTGAATGTCTTTACAGATGAACATCAACCAAGTGGCTTTGCTAGGAAATGGAACTCAAATTTTATTGAGTAGATTTGAATGATGACGATGCCTGAGATTCAACCCTGCAGCTATTTAACTGAGAACCTTGGGTTAAAGAGTTGAAAATAAAATGTGTAGTCCTTTTATTTGAATTAAGTCAAATGTAGCACTGGTTTTGAAAAAAGGTTATTATAATTTTCTCCTAGATTCATAGATTCCAACATTTAACCTGTCAATCCACATAGGGCATCAATTGGTACCATTCAATCCAACATCATTGATACATTTTTTTAAAATTAAATTCCCTTTGTAAATTAAGGAGTGTAGAAAATGTGGCAATAGCATTGTTCAATTCAATTTGCCTTTTGCATCTTAAAAGATGCTGAAATATACAATGTGGGAGTTATGTGTGCTGGCAGATAAAACTGTGTAGCTCAGCCACAGCAGAAACCCTACTTGCTCAGAAACATAAGGAGAAGCTGTTATGCTCACCTGCCTCTTCAGATTATTTACTACTCAGATGTGGTCTGCAAAGCTGCTTACACAGAACACCAAAGTAGTGTCACGTCCACTTAACTTTGCAGGCAATAAGTCTGGAACTATGTCATGAACTCTTCTCAGAAACAACATAAAATAAATCAGGTCCCCTAAAGGTGAGACTTTTAACCAGTTTATAGATATTTACTGAAATTCCAGGATTGCGAATGCATATTTACAAGAATTGCTAATTCTACTGGGAATCATTTCCAAACTCTTGCACTCTCCCTCTCTCTCTCTCTCTCTCTCTCACACACACACACACAAACAGATACGCACATACATTCAATCACTCTCTCACACTCCCTTTCTCTTACAGGCTATAGTATAATAACAATTGTTCAAGTTCGAACAGTAAAATTGTCAGAAATTTACATGTCATCAATAGTGCAGTGATTTATTACCATAACATTTCAATAGTTCACAGATAACCTCAAAATAAAGGGGTTATCCTGCTCCATGTCCTCAAAGCAGCTAGTTGATCTTTGTGTATTTACAAAAATAACTATTTATATGCATAGGATTTAATTTCAACTTTATAAATGTAATCTAATCATTGATTAAAATTACTAACCTTAGCAAATAGATCAGATCAGCACTTAAGCCACATGAGTGAATTTCCTACATTTCCCATATGAAGAATAAGATATAATAATGTCTCTAGGCAACATATTATCTTAGGTAGATAACTGAACATTTCAGTAATTTCCAGTGCTATTGGAAAATTACACCTGAGAGAATAACATTTCATTACTGCAGGACACCAACAGCTCGCATCAGGATTGTAGCTTACATCCCAATGTTAGTTAGGTGTCAGCCTAGTTCAGATGGTAGCATTCTTGCCTCTGGCTGTGTGTTCAAGTCCTGTGTCAGGACTTTGAGCTCACAGTTCAGGTTGACACTCCAATACAGTACTGGGGGAGTGCTGCATTGATGGAGGCGATGTCCTTTGGATGAGACATTAAACTGAAGTCCTGCCTGTCTGTTCAGGTGAACATTAAAAATGCCACAACATTATTCGCAAAGAGAAGGGAATTTCTTCCAGTGTCCTAGCCAACAATCACCTCATTGTATCCTAGCTCAGTGGTAGCATTCTCACCTTTGGGTCAGAAGGTTGTGGATTCAAGCCCCACATCTGGATTTAGAATCATATAATCTAAGATGACAATGCAATGAAGTGCTGGGTGGGGAGGGTGTATATTGTCAGAGGTGCCATCGTTTGGATGAGACGTTAAACCGAGGTGCTGTCTGCTTGTCTAGGAGGATGCTGAAGATCCTATGGGACTATTTGAAAAGAGAAGAGAGTATCTCCCGGGGTCCTGGCTAACAATCCCCCGAATAAAAATTAGTAATTCACTCCATGGCTGTTTGTAGGACATTGCTGTGTGCAAACTGGCTGCTGTGTTTTGCCCTATATTACACAATCAAAACCACTTTATAGTATGTCCTGTGAAAAGCTTAGAGTTGTCTCGTGACGTGATAAGGCACTATTCCAAATGCAAGGATGATTATTATCAAAATTATTACAAAATTGGTCATTCACTTCACGGCTGTTTGTAGGACATTGCTGTATGCAAATTGGCTGCTAGGTTCACCTATAAATACACTACAGTCTACCCTGTAAAGCGCTTTGACACATCTCAATGCCAACATGATAAGGGGCTATATCAAATGTAAAGATTATTATTATGTTGTGCTTAGAATGTAAAGGTATGGAACATTCATTTCATTTAAAAGTGGCTCTGCAATGCCCTGAGCTGTCGGTCTTGTTTACACTCTGGAACGGACTTCACAACAACAACAAATTACACTTGTATAGATCCCTTCACTTCGGAAAGACGTCCCTAATATAACCACCTAAATTTATCCATGTGAAGTTGTTTAAAAGTTGCATTTGCAGCTTCCTTGACTTGGCACTTTCCCTGGTCTTTCAGCCATGAAAAAAAATACAGTGGGAAATACCCTTTACCTTGCAGTCACCAAAGGAACAAAGAAAACACCATCATCTGAGATGGTACTCCACGTCGCCAGAGGAATTAGCAATGGCTTTGTACCTTACAATGCTACTGCTGAAGGCCAGATTGACAGCCACCATGCTGGAAGGTAAATGTGGCATCAGGCAGAACTCTAACCCACTGGGGTCTTTTTTTTGTTCCATTCACTAAACATAACAAATTTTCTAATACAGACTTAGAAATGGCATTCCATTTCCAACAAGCCAACATCAAAAGATTCAGTACACTTGCTGAACAGAGCAGCATAACTTGATTCTGTTTCAATAGCCTCCCACTTTCTCATGCCATAAAAATTCAGTTTCAACTTTTCTGTCAACTTAACCCTTAGTGAGCTACTCAACGCATCAGTCTAAATCATTTTGTGCTGCCAACTTTACTTGTTTAAGCCTTCCAAAGCCCTGTCTCTGACATAATATAAAAATCACATCAGGAAGCAATCTGGTCGCATTGATGATAAAGCAATGTAATAGTCAATTAAAAATATCAATTGACTATCAACATGACTGTATCATCAATGTGACCACTTTGACTTTGGCTGTAAAATCTATTCTTATTATCCAAAAAAAGACAAAAAAAGTAAAAAGTGAAGAAACAGATATTAAAGGAAAAGATTACAAAAGGGAAAATACAGTNAAAAAAACACATGAAACAGGAGAATAAGATGATGAGCGCAGGTGAATTATTTAAAATATAATTTAACTTGATGACAGTCAACGAGTTAAGGGCTAAATGTTTTTAGAGTATATATATATACGCGGGTGGTGGGGGATGGTTAGTCCTTAACATTTTTACTCATGAAAAAAACATCTGGTAGCCTTCAAAAGTGAAGCGAATCTTATTTTTATTTCCAACAAAAATTAATTCAGGGTGACTCAGAGCTGGCTACATAACTATGACTAATTTAGTCTTTGCCTTCAGTACAGGCTCAGAAATTCCATATTACCTTTCCTGTACCAAATCGATCAGCCTCGTCCATCCTCACAAAACGATCATCAAAAAAAACTATTATACTTGGTTCTCATACGAAGCCACATCTTAAATCAATTAATTGCTATAAGGATAATTCTGAGAAAAAAAAATCGACATGATATATGACATTATTTTGCAATGCTCACTTGACCCTGGAGGGAATAGAGTGAGAAGGAATGCAACAAATCAGCCCAGATAGTTTATGTATGATATATTTTGGCACTAGATCAAATGAAACTCCGAAGCTTTATGTTCCTGGTTTAGTGCCTATATCCTTGGTTTTGTGAAAATTAGTCAAATCTTTGCAGCAATTAACCATGTGGTTTGGAGAAGAAAAGGTAACATTCCATAGAGTTACAAAGAGTGATATGGCAGAGATACAGGCCATTCAGCCTAACTAGTCCACACCAACGTTTATACTCCACACGAGCCCCCACACCTCCTATTCTTATTCTGCTATATGCCCTCCTCCTTTATGTATGCACCAGTTTTCTCTTAAACACATTTATGTTTTTTGCTTCAACCAGAGCTTCCACCAGTGAGTTCCATATGCTCACTGTTCCTCCTAAATTCCCTATTAGGTCTACCACCACTTATCTTATATTTATGTCTTCTTGCTTTGGACTCACTAACAAGCATTTTTCACACTCTTTTGTAATTCACACTCACAAGCAGTAATTTTCTTATTGCCGGTATGAACGTAGAACACAAACTCCACTGATTAACATTAGAATGGGTTGCAATTTTTTCTTGTTCAGCTGGCTGTCTGACACATGTGGAAACCCAGCGCCATGCTTAAGAATCTTCAAATCAAACTACCGAGAGTTCCACCTACATAGCATTTTTTTTTAAACAAAAGTATATCCTGTACAATAAACAAATTGTAGATTCTTCTGCCAAAGGTCTTGTGAATGAAACCTGCTGAAATTCATACCTGCTGCTGGTAATGTGCTGACAATGCAATTTGTGCCTTTTCCTTCTCCGACAGAGGTTGCAGTTACGACACTGAATTGATAGGAAGTATTTGCTTGGAGATCTGTAAATGTATATGCACGGTAACTGGGAGCAACTGTTTGATTATGATTTTCAAATATAAGTATATAATGAGTGATATTTCCATTTGGTTGTAACGGTGGGTCCCATTGGATGGTGACTGACTGCCAGCTTGATGCATAGCAGTGAAGATTTTGGACAGTTTCTGGAATTGCACATGAGGAAACAAACCATCACAAACTCTTAAAAAGATGCATCATTAATAATCTCAGTTTTCCTTCTGCATTGCAAGTTGTCACATCTCTCTAACACTGAAGGAAATGTACCGAAAGAACAAATCTACAGTGTATTTATAATAAGAGTGAGAACTCCTTTCTCTTTAAACTTTCTCATTCAAAGTCTAACTTTCTCCTCGTATGTGGGAGGGCAGGAGGGAGATAAAGAGGGTCCCACTGAACTGTCTCCATGGTGACATGCTTGGCAGTAGAATGTCAGAATCGAGTCAATCCTTTGTAGTGGTCTTATTAATAATCCAGTTTCTGAGCCAGGTGAATCCAAGTACTCCAGGCCACTGCTGATGGTTGACCAGCCAACATGGCTCATTGGAGGGGCAGATCAGTCACTTAGTTCCTATTATAACCCCGCAAGCCAAAGCCCTAATGGGTAGGGTTGTCCTAGTTGGACATACAGCAGGAGGCTTGCCAGACAACACTCTCAATAGCAAGCTATGTGATTTCAGCCAGTTACACTCCGTAAGTCCAACACACACTCTGAGGTCTCCAAGTCTTGGCTCTTGCCAACCTGCGGCTAATACTTTCCAGAATTAGGTAAGCAGGGTGCATCGCTGCAGAAAGAGGGTGCACGTTCCATTCCAGGCACACAGAAATCTCCAATGTGTTGGTGGCAAAGATATGTGGAACTCTCATTCTGGTTTGGCTATTCTTATGCATGGTGATCGGTTTGCTCATGTCTCAGACATCTGGCTGAACCCCAAAATAGAAGAACTTTGAGGAGTCAGTTGACAGATCTTTCAAAAGGGAGATCTTGATTGAGAAAGCACCACCTTATCCATGTTCTGAACATTTTAATTTACATTGAAGAAAATAAGAGCCTGGACATAGCCAAATGTGGATTAATTGTTTCCATTAAAAGGTGTCCACAAAATCATAAAATGCAGGAGTATGGTTCAATAATTAAGTTTTAAAATATTGCTATAATACTAAAGTCAAGCCTCTCATGGATTTAAATAACTTATAAAAATAGTGGTTTTATAAACAACAACAAGATTACATTTGTATAATCATTTAGAGTTCAACAAACCTGAATTATTTGTCCGGAAAATGACAATATTGCTGAATTGATTTCCATTCCCCACCTTTGTGAATGCTGACACACTGATGTAATATTCACCAGGCAATTCGAATCCAGTCAGATATGCTTCATGGAGCACTGCAGTTGTATTCTGGTAAAAAAAAAGTGGTATTGAGACATTTTATAAGTAAGAAATTGCACTTTAATGTAAACTGTACAATTGTATCATCTCTTGGGTAGAATATTGTGTGTACTGTGTCTATGAATATTACTTTCACTGAACAAACAAGCTGTCTGACTGTTAAAAATATAATTGAGTTTGTTGTTTCCTAACAATTGACAGATTTCCCGCCAGCATGATGTTCTTGAATAATAGATGGAAAATACAGTATTGATACTGGCAAAGGAAAATCTATGGAGTGGGGGTAATTCTCCACCTGTCAGTAGATGTCCCATCTTGGTGAGTGAACATTCTGTGCTGGTCAGTAAATCTATTAACCAGAAAAAAATCATCCCCAATATCTTCTTTCTGAAATGACTGAGGAAGTATTTACTGCTGATTTTAAAAAAACAGCAAGATTAATGCTGCTTAAATGATTATTTTACACTGTGGCTCAAAAACTCTAAATGATGGTAGGTGCTGTGCTGCGATGGGATTACATTGGTAAAACTGTAAGTAACAAAATGAGATCAGCAGTACCTTGAAAAATGTGCTTTGATTTCTGCTTTCAATGATTTTAAAACTGTAGAACTGCACAAGACCATTTGGCTTAGGACTGGGTTTCCACCGAACCAAGACAGAATCTGCTGAACTATTCACTATCTCCAGGTTTTGTGGAGGAGCCGATGGCACTGGAAAAAAGTCATCCAAACAAATCATACATTTTAAAATTTTAAAAAGCGATTGATTCATATGCCCATAATCATTTTATCAGCTAAAATGACACAAGGTTCTGAAGACAAGTTGGGATTCTGTTTTTGTCTGTTGTTACAGATAAACTTTTGTCATTCACAGTCTTATCAAATTGAGTCTATTTTAGTCATGAAAAAGCCATATGGTTCTGAAATGCAAATGTATGAACAAAACAAAGTTAACAATTAGTGGCATTTACCAAAAAATAGGTAAATGCTATTCTCAATACAGTTTATTGACAAATATATTTGGTATTAGGCTGGAGAAAGTGGTCACCTTAATAATGCATTATCCAAAAAGGGATGAGAATTTCTCCCGGTTTCCTGACTAACAATCCTACAGATCAAATTGGTCATTCACTTCATAGCTTTATATGGGACAATGCCGTGTATTGGCTGTTGGGATTGCCTACAGATACACAGTTGCTATGATTACAGTAACTTCGGTGATGTATTGAAAGACATCCTCCTGACGTGAAATATATCAAAATATATATCAAATGGAAGTATTATTATAATATTACAAGACAACTTGACCTGTTTATAAATATAATGGCCAGGAAATTTCTTGAGGCAAAGTAGAGGGAGCTTTACTCTGCAGTTGACTTATGTTGTATTTGAGGTCTACTCTGCAAAATATATGTGTGTTCCATTCCCCATCACTGGCAAAACCTTACGTTGATCTTCATAGTTATTTACCAGAAGTGTAAATTCATAATAATGCAAATACTGAAATTGAAAATGGATGAAATTAACTATCATAAACTATACAATGATTAGTATTCCAAGATAACTATGCGTTCCCTTTTCCTCTATGTCACCCGTGTGAATGGCAGGCCATCTAGTTCCACAACTCTTCCAATTTCCCTCTTGATGCTTCCAGAGCATTTTCCTGTGAGGAAAATATCACTTCCTTGATGAACTGTTAAGATTGGAAACTCATTATAGATGATAGTTGAACATCAATTACCATCTTACCATTTCATAGTAAAGCAAGCTGATGTATTGTTGCTATTCTCTCATTAGGTCATCTTATTAGGTCAATATATTCTTAAACTAATGTATGAAAGTCTTTCCAAATACAATACTGGCAATACTTCAGTTGATTGTTACTCACCTGATTCCTCTGTTAACACTGTGAGTGAAGAGGAGGGACCAAGACCTTTGCTTGTGTTTGCAGACACGGAGACATTATAGTGTGTGAAAGGCAAAAGGTTAGTTAAAGTAAGACTAGTCCTAGAGGTTGTTGAGAAATTAGTCCCAGACGGTCCATTGAGTTCTATGGTGTAAGATAATATAGCATCGTTCATTTCAGAAATTGGATTCCAGGATAACTGAATTGCTGTAGTTGATAGATTTCTATATGTAAGATTTGCAGGTGATGTTTCTGGAACTAAATTTTTAAAAATAAAATTAAAAATGTACTTTACCAACTGTCCCAGGACAATTAATACTCTGAATACGAGTAGAAATAATCAGTTAACATTGTAAATTAGGAAAGGAACACTTAATAAGGAATTATTGACAAATTAATCTTTGCAAGATACTACAAACATAAAGAGAAGAACATAGACGTATTTGTTTTTTGGAGCAAGCTGCTTAGATTTAAATGTTACTTTGCCATGCACAATGTTGCTACATTTCATTAAGTATTATACACAAAAAGATATACCATTCCATTCACACAATCTTCTATACATGCAAAATGCAATTTAAAAACTTCAGCCTCATAACATTTAAGTGGTCCTTTAAACAAGAACCTCAGATTTCAGTCATTAATTTTATTGACAACGGGAGAATCCAGAGGAAAACTTTAACGGGTATAAATATCATAAATATCATATATATGTATTTATGAAATTTCTTTTCTAAATGGGCTATGCCATGTATACAATACAGAACCTGTAGTAATCTCATAGTATCTGAGAATTTTTTTTTGTTTTCCTAGCCATTCACCTACAGTTAAATAATTATTTGTTTGTAACAGAGTAAATAAAATATTAGTTTATGTAACACATGGTTGTTTATCAAACTTGATTTATAACTATACAACATTAACCTTCACAGATGCCATGGTAGAAAATATGCTAGTATTTAATCTGCATCTGTTTACTGTTATAAAACAGTTACAATCTGTGTCACAACATGATGTGTATTTTAATCTACTTTGGGATTTTGCTTCCATTATCAATAAAAACAGTTCGTAAAAAAATCTGATTGTTTAGGCAGATTTTTTAAATCAGTCCAAATTAATATAAAATATTTGAACACAGTGACACTTTAGAATATCACATAATTGATAGGCCTTTCAGATATCAAATAATCCATTTGGGATATCATAGTATTTGTCATATTAAAAAATTACTTACTGCCTACATCTGTTCTGATATGTAGGATTGTTGTAGTATTTTCTGAATATCCTCTGCTTGTTGCAGGAGTGACACTGATCATATAGTCCGTGGACATCTGTAGTCCTTCAATTCGTATACTTGTGTCAGTAGTAATTTTGGAAAACTTCTGGCTGTGTGACTCAAGGACTCCTACGTCCCAGAAGATGTGGTAGAATACTTTTCCATTTGGCTGAAGAGGTGGGAGCCAGCTTATAGTTACGGATGTTGAAGAAATATTTTGAGAGGTAATATTTTGTACGGCTCCTTCTGGAACTACATAGAACAAATGCGGTAACGTTTAACTTAATATATCTACTGTAAAAAGAGAAAACAGTGTTCAACTCTGCAATAGTCAGGCAATAATAAAGCTGTCAAGACTATGTGATAATAAAAACATAATACCAATAAAATTATGAATTAGGATATTTTTCACTAAAATGCATTACTAAAAGATCACAACTGGTTAATTATGCTCAGTCATATCGTGTGACAAGGAAACATCCAACAGGTTTTATGTAGTGTTAATTAAAATGTGAGATGAAAGGTGAAAGGTAAAATTCTTGGGCCTCAAAAGGTTCTCCATTACAGCATAAGAGGTGCTGGATAAATCATTGCATGCAAGGTTTATGGCCACTCATTAGCAGGGCTCATTAGTGACTCATTAGATATTGATGAATTTAATTCAACTCATAATTTAGATATTGATGAATCAGCAAGTTTCTTCAGAATTTAGAAATTGTCTTTTCTCAACCGTGCGCCTCAATTCAGGAAGTAAAAATGAATCTTACATTTACTAAATCACAGGCTAATCAATAGTCTAGATCCCTTGAAATAGAGATTTCAAATGTTTTTATGTAATGTTCCCCCTCGGAGCTGAATGTCCCATGCACATCATCATCTTTCTTACTGAATGGTGAGTGAATGATATTTCAATTGGAAGGAACAGAACAAACTGGTATTATGGATTTTTAAGGTTTTTCTCCCTCTCTCTCTCTCTCTCTCCAAGGCCTAGCCTCACCTCACACTCCATTTCACTCACCCCCACACCCCCAACTTGGGTAAAATGCTGGTAAGACAAGAAAAAAACAGTAACCGGTGTACACCCCTCAGTTTGAAACACTCTGATCTAGAGAATACCAACAAATGTGTCTCTATCACATTTGTCTCTAAGATTTGTGACCCTCAGAACTTAGGAAAACATAATTTCATTTTTATCATTTCATTTTTACTGTGCAATATTATAAGTATTTGTTATAGATTTGTAATGCATTAATTCTAACAAAGCATGTTCCCAGGAATCCACTGTCAGTAAACAAAGTTGAATATTATATGCCAGTCAAATGATGCCGTACGTCTTGATATCTTACATTGGGTGTCAGCCTGACTCAGTTGGTAGCATTCTTGCCTCTAAGACAGAAAGGTTGTGGGTTCAAGACCTCAAGACCCATGTCCACATACCAATGTAGTGTTAGGAGAGGGCTGCATTGTCAGAGGCATTATCCCTGAAATAAGCCATTTAACCCAGGTCCTGTCTGCCTGGTCAGGTGAACAGTAAATATCCAATGGCACTATACAAAGAGAGAAAGGAGTTTCTCCCTGTGTCCTGGCCATCAATCCTCCAGATACAAATAAATTGGTTATTCACTTCATGATTGTTCATAAATTAAAAACAAAAAGTTCCATAATAAAAAGCGCTTTGAGACGTCTCAACAACATGACGAGGTGCGATATCAAATGCAAGGATTGTTTATTATTATGATTATGTGGATTTACGATAGAAAGAAAAGGTTTAAGCAACTAATGAGCATCATGTATTACACTTAACCTCATTAGTTCTGTTTTTTTGCATTTGAATGAAACTCACCATCTTCAACAGTGTACACATCAATCATTTCACTGGTCTGATTCCCATCTCCAAGAGGGGTACTGGCAGTTACCCACAGCTGATAGTGGCTGAATTTGGTCAAGTTATTCAATTGTGCTGAAACATTTGCATTTTCCACACTGCCTTCCTCATCAAAATCTGTCACATTCTGAAAAGCAAATATAAAGATTTTTTTTAACCTATCTTGCTTTCCTTTTGCATTTCAAGAATATAGGTATTAGCAACAAGAAATCTCTTGTTGTTTCCAAAGTAACTATTGAGAAATCAAAACACTGATTATTTTAGTTGAAGGTTTCCTCTCTTTGCCGCATCAATTAAGCAACAACAACTTACATTTATAGAGTGCCTTTCAGGTCAGAGGGTCATCTCAAAGTGATTCCCACAACTGACTAGGAGACAAACTCGGTGGTGGGGGTGTGGGGGGGATCCTGAGCGGAGAAGATGGATGAAAGTTGACCTTAAAACAGAAAATACCTACCAGTGTAAATACGCCAGAAGTATTTCTATAATAAATTGTGTAGTATTGAAGGTTTCCATTAGGTTTGTAAGGAGAATTCCAAAAAACCTGAACAGAAGTCGAGCTTATGTTAACATAGGAAACATTGCCTGGTGGTTCACCTGGAGCTGAAGCACAAAGATACAATATAATTCAAAATGATATTTTTGAAAAGAGTAAACGGGGTAATGCATTATTATGGAATCATAGGAGAAACACAGAAGGAGGCCATTCGGCCCATCATGCCTCTGCCGGCTCTTTGAAAGAGCAATCCAACTAGTCTCACTCCTTGCTCTTACTCCATAGCCCTGCTAATTTTTCTTTATAGATTTCCTTATCAATTATATTTATTTCTCCATCAGATTCTCATCAACAAGAGGCTAATTTATATATTTTTTAAAAATACCATTTACTATTACAAACAGTGTCACCACTCAAGTACCAGCAGGTTTCAAAACTCAATGTAAGCACTTACAACCCTCAGATGATCGGAATGTGATATTGTTGCTTTTCATTCCTCCATCACCATGCCTCGTATTCGCTGTTACAAAAGCATGGTGTTCGCGATTATGTTCTAAGTCTGTCAACAGTGCAGATGTCCCAGTCACATTTAAAGTGAGTTGTGTGGTTGTACTCCTGCAGATGAAGTAACACCAAAAAAAGAAAAAAAATCAACGCTCGTTCACATGATCAGTCATAAAAATGTTAAATTAAGGTATTAAGCCAACAATACCTTTGCAGTTTTTGTTTATAAGATGCACTTTAATTGATTTATCAGGTCAAAGGCTAATAAGACTTGTTATAGTCTGGAATGCACTGCCTGACAGGGTTGTGGAAACAGATTCAATAACAACTTTCAAAAGGGAATTGGATAGGTACTTGAAAAGGAAAAAATTGCAAAGATATGGGGCAAGATTGGGGAAGTGGGACTGATTGGGTAACTCTTCCGGCACAGAGCCGGCACATGCATGATGGACTGAGTGGCCTCCTTCTGTGCTGTAATATTCTATGATTCTATAATGAAGATTACCTACCCTTCAAATGAAGTTATCTTGAATACTCTCCCTCAATCGCACTGCCTTGTTCACTCTCTTCCCTTTTTCAAGAACCGCCTGAAAATCTTCCTTTTCATGGTCTTACAGTCACCTCCACCCCATCCCCACCCCCAGCTCGGAGGCAAGCTCTGCCACTGTTAAGCACTCTGACACGTGAACCTGAGTGGAGGGTGATATATACGTAGTTGTTGTTGTATCTTCCGCAAACCAAGGTTACATTAGGCAGTCTAACAAGGAAATCACTGGGGATCTGTAGGTCCGACCCAAGCATTCCTGGAGCCCCTGTGAACCCTTTTGTGGGCTTTTTCTGAAAGTCAATACTTGGTGCCAGGGAAGGTGGCAGGAGTAGGCAAGATAACAAAGGCTACAGCTTGGGATTGTGTCATGGTCCTTTCAACTACACAGAATTGCATGAAGTAATACAGCACGGAAACAGACCATTCAGCCCAAGCCCATGCTGGAGTTAATACTCACACAAGCCTCAACCCCTCCTAATCCCCTCTCCCATACCCCTCTATTCCCTTCTCCCGCTTAAATATGTTCCATTTTATTTTTGTCTATCTTCTTTGCAAAATGTTTTCACCTTCTTTGTGTTAAATGACTTACGTTGCAACCCTTCGAAGGGGCAGCCAGTAATCATTTGCCAATCCTTCACCAAGCATGTCATGTGTTTGCTTTTGCTTGTATAAGATGCATGCAACAATGTATACATAATATATAAGGTACATGTACCAATATTTAAAATATTTCCATGGCGTGGTCAATACACAGAGCATTTATTCCTCCATCTCACTTTCTTTTGTGAGGCAAATATTTTTACCTCTCAGCCAAGTCACTAAATTGAAATCCACCACCCCATCCCCAATAAGATCAAGCTATTCAATTTCCGAGGATGGAAAACTGATATCATTCATCTTATGTTGCTTGAATCACCCTGTAACTGGCTTATCATCATGGAACAGCAATGGATAGCAGGCATTAATTATTCTACGCCGCAGGCAGCCTAACAGGTGATATAAGTAGGCGAACAAAACATGGGAGAAACACAGGAGAAAAATCAATTATCATTTGATAATAACAGTGGAATAAATGGGAAAATGGCATGCATTCAAATTAGCAAGTGCTCTGAATGTTGAAAACCATGTTATTGTTTGCAGAAGTATCTTACCAAACATGAACAGTGTAGTACAATATAACTCCATTTGGCTCCAAGGGAGGTTCCCATGACAGACGTACAGTGGTAAAAGATAATTGTTCTGATGCCAATGATCGTGGAGGAGAGACAGGAACTGTTCAATGTGATTAAAACAGCAAAGTGCAGAATGTCAATGTTGGCTGCTACCAAATGGGGAAATATTAATACAGTAGTTGTCATTTTAAACATCTTCTTATGATGCCCTACAGGGGAACCTCTTTATAGCATGGTTGGCTGGATCCAGTTGCTCAGCGGCCATGTTATAAGCAAAGTGTTAAAAAATAACCCAAAGCTTTACCATTAAAATGCAACTACAGCATTATGTAACAAAGTACGGTTTATGTCATTATGTAATGCATTCTAACGCACATTGAACCTAGCATGCACTACAAGGCATCTAGATGCCTCACCAACCAGAAAGAAAGCAGCACTTCCTGACTTTTCCTTATTTGTAACAATAATAATCATTTATATTTGATACATCCCCTTTCATATAAGAGGAAGTCTCAAAGCACATCACAGGATACACTGTAAAGTCTAGTGACTGTATGTTTTATAGACAAACCAGCTGTCAATTTGCACACAGCATTGTTCCATAAACAATCATGAAATGAATGACCAAATGTATCTGTTGACCAGGAAATCGGGAGAAACTCCCTTCTCTTTTCCAAATAGTATCATGAGATATTTGACATCTATCTGAACTGTCAGAAGGAACTTCAGTTTAACATCTCAACTGATGGATAGCATCATCAATACAGTGCTCCCCCAGAACTGTATTGGAGTGTTATCCTGGAGTTCAAAGTCCTGACCTGGAGCTTGAACCCACAACTACCAACTGAGCCAGGCTGACACACAACAGGTGTTGAACTGTGTGCTTATCGGACCAGGATTCCAGCAAACAAAAAAGCCACCTTGATTCTCAAAGTTGCTATAAATAAAAGGTTCAGTTTTGAGGATTATGATTTAACCTTTGTGCTAACAAATTAACGAGAAGAAAACGTGATTTTAAATGATTTAGATTGCATTCTGAAAACTAAACGTAAAGCAATCAAAACAAATATTTCAATGTTCTTCAAAGTTTTACTTACCGTCTTCTCTGGTTAAAATGTACATTGATTCACTTTGATTTCCTTCGCCTTTGCTAGTACTTGCTGATATTTTTAAAATATATTTTTCATAAGTCTTTAAACCTACAACAAAATGGTAAATGCAGAAACAGTTTTGGTTTTGCATCACCAGTACATGCAAAACAAAATGTGAAAAGATAAGATATATATCTTTGAAAAGATATAACCACTCTTTAATTCCAGGGAAGGCCAGCAATTATTCTTGAACATACCTGTTATTTTAGCAGTTACATTTGTGCTGTTGATAATACGCTTTTCACTGCCATTCAAGGGTATGAGATATAATGTGTAGAAACGGATAATTCCATTTGGAGCTGTTGGTGGAGAGAAGAATACTTCTACAGCCGACGGAGAAAGGTGCACATACGTGATGTTTTGCGGTGGACCATCAGGAACTGCAATGCAAATAAATAAAAAATATGCTCAATAAAAAATATGCTCAGCCACATTTTGCTACCATTGAAAAGATATAACAGCTCTTTGCCATGAGTGAAAAATAAATAGATTTTCTGACAGCTTCATTTGACACTGTACGTCTATTCTATACTTGATACAAACTTAAGAAATGGAAAGAAAATGGAAAAATTGGAATCTCAGAATCGACCTAATGCTGAATAAGGCAAGTGTCTCAATATGCAGAGAACAAAAAAAAACACCATCTTTTCTGAGCTTATAAATAGAACACCACTGATCTTGTTACCATTCCCAAATTGTGTGCTGGCATATACAGTGAAATTGTAGTCACTCTCCCTTCAGGAGACCATTAATGAGGGCACTGCTGATGACAGCACAGCCAGCCTGGCTCATCGGCAGGCCTTGGAAGGGCTGACCAGTGCTTGGGGCAGGGAGTCATCCCACTCAGCTCCTGTTAATCCTGCAAGCAAAAGCCCTAACGGGTAGGGTGGTCCTAGCTGGACAAGCAGCGGGAAAGCTTGCTGGACAGAACTATCAATGGCAAGCTATGCGGTTTGAGCTGGCTGGACTCCAGCAGTACCCAGGATGCGTCCATCCAGCATTCCAATCCAATAATCTATCTCTGGGATTTCCACCTATGCATGTAGGTGGGATGCACGGAAACCTCATCTCAGTTGGGATACTATTAAGTATGGTGATAGGTTTCCACGTGTGTCAGACACCCGCCTGACCAGAAAAACAATGTTTAAACTCTGGTCAGTAGCATTTATTCAATTAAGTATACCACAAACTCTTATGTATGAAATTGTGAAGAACTCAATCTTGTCATTGGGATAGAAGGGCAGTGGCAAAACAGTTGTACTAGAGTTTAAGTTTTTGGTAGAGCATATTACGAGGAAGATTATCTAGAACTGCAGGAAGAATCTCAAACAACAGTCTGATTATGTAAAGCTTTTACCAATAAAGTTCAAAGTATTAGCTGTAGAAAAGTAGATATATTTAAGGTGTATTGTAGATTAAATTATTTCAAATCAATTACACCATTTCCATTGATGCTCCTATTAATTCAACTAAATTGTTACTTCCTGAAAGTAATTTAATGGTTTAAATGTAAAACCTCACCTCAATTTTGCATATCTAAAGATTATGAGTAACTAGTTACAAATATGTTACACATAACATCTCTCAATTTAGATACAAAAAAATACATGTAAATGCTATTGGTGCACACTTAACATAACTCAAGCATTTGTTGACACAGTACAGATTGCTGGAGGGACAAGATGCACTGCACACTGTTTGGATGAAATTATTGGTTTACGGAAGTTAACTGCACCCCATTTATGCCATGCGGGAATATTTGAGACCACTGCGAACACTATGAAACAGTACTTTGATAGCAGTCCTGACTGGAACCAAGCAGCAAAGTTCTTACTGGAAACTGTGCTATATTTGGTTCTTATTTCCACGACAAACACAACAGCAGCCACAAAAATAACTGAAAGGCGTGTGCTCTAAGGGCTGACATGTGAATCTCTATCAAAACTCAGCCAAATTGTGGAGTAAGTGGATTAAAAACTAAAACAGTGTCAAATGCATTTATCAGAATGGAACCAAACCCACAGTGATAGCACTTTGTTGAAATGGTTGTGCCACAGTGAAATGACTGTGCATGAAGTTTTCTCTGATAGCAAGTTTATTGAGTGAATAGAGAACTGATAAAGTAGATAAAGAGTTGTGAGATTGTGGAATGTACTAACTGCCTCAGATGACCATAAATGCACCGTACAGTATTTGAGATGTTTAAAGGAGAAATGGTTAGATACTTGGGTATCAAAGAGATATGGAGAAAGGCCAGGATATTGGATTAGAAAAATAAAGAGCTCAAGGCGAACTAATAAAATGATGCAGCAAGCTCAATGGGTGAAATGGTTTTTTACAGCAAAGGTAAAAGGGAGAGTCAAACAGCTTTGACATGAAAACTGACACGATGAAGTAAAAACATTCTTGCAACTGAATACCTGGAATCCTGTGGACACCCAGACTACAAATAATATTAGTTCAGTTCAGATATAAATTCACTATCCACTGTGAAGTTTATAATGGATAGACATATTTTGCTCCCTGTCAAAAGCTGGTGTGCAAGCTGTTTACTTTTTTTTACTTGTTTACTTTTTTAGCACATCACTCACTTGATTTTTCACTTGCAAACTCTGTAGTAGCAGAAAAAGTAACTGAGTATTGGGAAAACTTACAAATGTAGAGATGTCTCATATCGGGAAGCTTTTAATGGAGTCACAGACATTCCAATAATTTACAGTGTAGAATAATATAATACTATTGGCATTCAGTGGTGGGTTTTGTGAAACTGCTACCTCAGTGGAACTAATGCTCTTACAGGTCACATTAAAGGGCGGACTGCTAGGAGCTGTAAAGAAAGCAAGATGAGTTTGTACATTCTAAATCACGTGGACCTCTGGGCAGAGCAAAATATTGCTCCATTTGATTGTTAATCCTTTGCTTCGCAAGAAAAAGAAAAGCTTCCATTAAAGCGAATGGCCTTTAGGTGAAAAAATCTCCTGGTAGGCACAAACAGTTAAAGAGATTTCACAGCTACAGATGGCTTTTTTAATGGATCAGAATTATATCCCAGCTGCAGAAAACATGTTTGATGTATTGAGTAAGAGCTATAATTTCCCATTTTCCAAGTAACAGCAGTGCGCTTCCATGTTCTTGGCAGAAATATAAATTCCTAATACCCCAACGCTGTCTTACAGTGATAGTATTACAGATCAGTACTTACCATCTTGTTCAGTCACCACAAGCATAGTTAAAGACGTTAGATTCCCATGACCGTACTTGGTATACATTTACACAGAGACATTATAAGGAGTGAATGGCTTTAGGTTTCTGAGACAAATTCCTGTTTTTGAACTATTCATTGTGAAAGAATCAATCTGATTAGTGTAAGTGACTTCATAATTTACAATAATACCATTGGGTTTCTCTGGACGTGACCAGCTCAAGTACACAGCAGTTGCAGAAATATTTTTTAAAGGTCAAGTTTTACGGAGGTGTCTATTGCTCTGAAAGACTCAAAGAACATAACGCTTTGTTTTCAAAGACCTCCACAGCATTACTAATTTGTAACCCCTGTTCAGGAGATTGCGCCTGCGCTAGCTTTCAGTTTACAGTTCTGCATTTGACATTAATGACTGAATGGGGGTGGCAAAGGATATAGACTCCATATAAAGGTTTTATGTTTATCAAAATATGGACTTCAGTGTTAGGCTACAGACAAGTTTTGCACTCAATATACCCCAATATCACCTTTAAGGAATCCTAGTGTATGTGTGGTATAGATAGATCAGAGCGAAGTTTAAATTTCCCTCTACTTTTCCAAAAAACGAACATCGCAATTGGTTGCGCATTTTGCTCACAAAATATACAGTCAATTCACTTCACAGTATATTCTGTGAAGCGCTTTGGGACGTATCGAAGACGTGATACGATGCTATATCAAATGCAAGGATTATTATTATTATTAACATCTGAAAATAAATCACCATTCAACCACTATGACACTTCCATTCTTCATAGCTTTCACTCTGGTGTGTGTCTGAGAAAGCCAATCGACTCTAGTTCTGAGCTGTGCACCTGGCTTCAGTCAAACTGCTCAAACTCATCGTTCATAGTCCTTGTACAACCAGCAGAGATTCAATCCATGCAAGAATAAACCATTGTCTCACAGGGATAAAGTAACATGGTCTCTCCCTAATGTGTGTGTATATTTTTTTTGGGTGGGGGGCGTGGTAGAGAGAAAACGATATTGAAGCTGATTATGTAAGGGTCTTTACATTAACCTGACTCGGCAGACGGAACTCTGTTTAATGTCTTATACTAAGTATGGCACCTCAAACAATGCAGCATACCACCAATATTACATTGGAGTGTCAGCCGAGACTATGAGCTCAAAGACCAAATGTGATACACATGCACTAGCTCAAGGCATACAACATTTGCGACAATTCTCTGATTTTTAACAAAAAATGGCACAAAAAGTTAAATAAAATGGTGCGCTGCCTCACTCCCATGGCTCCTTTGCTGTTTTACAGATAATTTCGATCTGATAACTTCATAAGAAGTAACTAGTTGAAGAGATCACATTCTGAACTATTTTGAGGATCTAGGCAAAATCTTATAATCATGACACAACAATGAATGAAAATGTTACAGATCAAAATAAATATATTTGCAAGTCACAATCATAATTTATGGTTAATAGAATAAAAGAATAAAGTAATAAGAAAAATCTCAGCTTAAAATGAAAGGTACCCTTGTGTATTTCTGTGAACAGATCATTGCTACACTTTTTCTTACCATCTTCAAGAGTTTGCACAAAAATGTTATCTCTTTCAGAGAGAGAGCTTTCACCAATAGCAGTCGATGCTGTCAGTCGAACTTTATAAATTGTGTATTTTTTCAGATCTACAAATAGAAGCAGAAAAACAAAACAAGTTTTAGATTCTGTAGATAAGTTACTGTCAGAATAGCAAATTCAAATGTTCCTTAACTATTTCCTTGCCCCATTTCCTTGCCTTTGGCCCTTCCCTACTCTCCTTCAAAATCCATTTTAAGACCTATCTCTTGGACCAAACTTTGGGCTACCTTTCTTCTCTCCCCCCCAACCAGGCTCCCAGCTGGGTGAAACACTTTGAGACGTCCTCCCGACATGAAAGGTGAATAAAAATGTAAATTGCATTTGTAATTTTAATTTCAGTTGGTGAGTTTAAAAATGTACAAAAGCATAAGAATATTTCTAGGTATAATACTGCTGGCACAATATTCGACCAGTGAAGAGTAATTTGTTTTTGGTGGAGGCTATTTTATCAATTATGATATATTTGGAACCAATTCAAGACATAAATGATTTTTATTTATAAATCATTTGCAAATTTTTGGAATGTAGTGAGCACAAACAGCCTGTGAAATAACCAATCATCCTAACTAGAAAACAATTTTACTAGTAAATACAGTTCATGCCCAGATTACCGGCTGGGTTAACATTTAAAAAATTAACACAGTATAAATAGGGCATAAATAATTGCAACTTCTTTTAATTAGATGTTTTAAGTTTTTTTCCAAAAATAATAATGAAAATGATTTGCATGTTCACCCTCCACTGGTGAAATACAATTCATCACTGAGACATCGATTTTGCTTGTCTACACAATTGAATTCAGCTTGTTAGTAATTAAAATACCTGTTAGAGTAACGTTGGTGTTTACTGTTACTTTGTGAAAGGCTTTTTTAGTGTCCATCGCCACAGCATAGTAGATGGTGTAGTGAGTGATTACACCGTTATGGAAAGCAGGAGGGTCCCAAAATAAGAGAATAGATGTGGAAGTGAGATTTTTATAAATTATATTCTGCACTGAACTTGGCACTGAAAACAGTAAAGGAAAAAGTTTAGTTAACATTGAGAAATCTGAGACACCAAAGTAATGTTTAAAATAAACACCATAGTTTCTTAGGTAACATACCATGCTGCTGCGTCTTTAAGGATATATTGGTTGGTGGTCCCTCTCCAACAATAGTGAAGGCTGACACTCTGATAATGTAATCAGTGTAAGGTATGAGTTGCCTCACAACATATGACAGCTGCTCAGATGTAAGGTCAATGACCTGGAGACTGCTTTCACTCCCTGCACAAGGTAGAAAAAGCAAAACTTCCTCCGTCTCATATTTCTTACATTTCGTAAGGTTCACACACACACACATTTGTACTTGAAGACAAAATAAATGACTATGAAAATGTGGAAGCAACGCAGAAAGCAAAAGGCAGAAGCAGAAATAAATATTAACGCGCGCAATTGAAAATAACTTTTAAAACTCCCTCATAAGTGTTAAATGAGAACAAGCTGCATTAATAAAGAAGAGCAAAAATGTGGGGAGCGTTCCTAAAAACAGAAGAATAAAAGGGTTTTTTTTTGGTTTGTATTCTAGGAAAGCCTGACAACGATTAATGTAGATAGGACTTTAAATCCTTTAAATGATTCTTTAAATCCCATTCTTTATAAGAGAACTCTTGCTTGCACTGTCAAACACACATTCCTTATAAAGTATTTTAGTTGATTCTGAAAAGCAAGTGTATGCACTAATGACATCACCATGCTACAGGGTCATCTCCACCTGTTGTCAATGCATACTGGAGCAGTGACCTATTTACCTTTGGTGCTGTTTTGAAAGCCATTAGCCAAAGCCCTGAATAGAGGGGGTAGTGGGGAACCTGGAGGTAGCAAAGTCTCCACGGTCCCACCTGCCTTGACAACTGTCATAACTGATCTTCTGTGTAACTTTGCTCTTGACTGAAGAGTCCTGCTGACGGTAGGAGGAGATTCAAAGGGCCCCAAGGAGTTAGAGACTGTCTGTGTGGTAAATGCAGTAGTGTAGAATCCAGCAGAAGCCACCGAGTGAGTCGTGGCAGGCAGTGATGTTTTAGGATAAATTACTGGTGAAGAGAAAGCTTGGGCATGCGATGTTAGTTGAGCAGGTGAAGATACAGTTGGGTCTTTTTCATAAAAAGTAGATGCCTCGGACATTTCAGTACGAGAAGTGCCTATTATTTCAGCGAGCGCAGAAGTTGTCGAGATTACTGCGGGCTCTAATGAGGACTCAGAAAACAGAGCAGATGAGCCTTCATATAAGTCCGTAAATATCAGTGCATCATCCTCAGAAGTGGTTATGATCGTATTTGATTCTGTATCCAACGTACCAGTATTTACTGGTTCAGGAGAGGTATCAATTTCCTAGAACAAAAAAAGTTAATAGTCTTTTAGACAAATTTAAATGGACTGATATTAAAAGAGTTAAGAGTCTTTTTCTGGTATCAGATGATTCGCTTTGGTTCACAACACATAAAGTGGTTGGTTTGAAACAAATCAAGCAATATAATTTAGTGCAGTATATTTGGTCTTGTTTTTAAACTGTGATCACAACAGAATAAACTTAATTTTTTTATGTGGAGTCCTGTAGCTCAGTGGTTAGAGCACTCGCTTTGCAAGTGAGAGACCTGAGTTCAATTCCAGGCAGAGGGCGAAACCTTGGGCAAGTTTCTTTACTCCACACGCCTAATAATAATCCCTCCAAAAAAAAAACAATAATTAAATTGGTCATTTTCAATCTACGACTGTTTGTGGGACATTGCTGTGCGCAATTGGCTGCCACGTTCGCCCACAAATATACAGTCAATTCACTTTACAGTGTGTTCTGTGAAGCGCTTTGGGACGTCCTCCCGACGTGAAAAGCGCTATATCAAATGCAAGGATTATTATTATATATTGTAAAAAAAGCACAGGTCTTTTTGCTTTAGGTTACACTTATTGCATGTATAATGAGTGCACCATCTTAAAAAAATCAAGAGCTTATTATTTTAGGTGTCCATTACATGAAAGTCATCTGGGCCCAATAGTTCAGAGGTTGCCTTACAAGCAAATGGCCTATTTCCAGTTGGCACGTACGTCACTTCCTGTGGACTGTGCATGCACACAGTAAGTGTGATTAGCAATGCTGCCTGTGCATAGCACAGATAAAAGAACAATAGCAATGCTTCCGCTAGAAATTACATCAGTGATGCTTCCAGTGTATAGTGCGCAATACACAGGAAGTGATGTGATGTGATAGTACCGGCAACTCGATGACCCAGAAGTTGTTCAGAGTGCTAGAAATGTGCGTGAATCACTCTTCCGGATAGTGTGGGTCCACAGAATGTCAGCATGTCATCAAAGTGTGCTACAACAGGGATCCCCTACATTTCATTGTGGTAATCTCTCAGGCGCAAAACACAATGAAAGTACATCCAACTCTTTTTAAGGGATAGTTTATTCTCTTATTGGAAGACGTCAGTTATCATCTGTTCACAGCTGAAAATTTGGCAACAATTTTTGATTCAGCAATTGCTTGCATACTTTGTGGAAATTATTTGAAGTGCTCCCATACCATTATTGCTTTTAACCGCTTTATGATCCATCTGATGAACCCAATGGCTGATCACCAGCAATATAAATCAGGGATAAATATGATATCAAGTCAGAGCTTGAGACCTTTTTTGGACTCATAAAGTTAATTCTGAGCTCTTCTGTTGCCCTAGCTTCAAAATGCCTGAAGATTTTGTGGCCAAATGTACTGCGTTATTTAGTAATTAATCCCGCTACGAAGTCTCACAATAACTTCTCTTTTCTAACGTTTAAAATGTGTTAATGGTCTGAAATTGTTGTTTCTGTAATGAAGCCTTGTTGACTGATGAGAACACTTGCTGCTTCATTGCGAGTTCCCACAAGTTTAATACTGACAATGAACGTCCACAATTACTCCCTTACATACGAGTGAAGATAAAAGGAAACACCAGAAAATTTCAATCATATTAGAAAACACTTCTTCAGGTGCAAAATGTTCAAATTCATTCTTCAGCAGAAGGATGGTTTATATTTTTTTAAAAACAAAGTGGAATATTTAACATCATTTTACATATTTACATGGAATATTTTACATCATAACATGTATGAAAAACAATGAATATTTATAAAGCCTAAATTCCACCTTGTTTTAACATTAGGACCATTTTGTCTAACACTTTGAGACCATGCAAAATTCTTAAATTTGGAATCCTTTCAAGAACCATGGAAACCAACATTCCAATTTAAAATTGAATTGAAGTATTTTCCACACGTCTGCATGATCCTAAGATTGAAGACAAAATACTCTTGCAGGTTACCACTTAGTGGCATTTCAGGCCTATAATTTCCAAATAAAATACAAGGGGGAAACAATGTACCTGGAGGTTTTCAGTCAAGATTATATTTTGTACAGATGTTTGTGATTTCGTTAGCAGAACATTAATTCGATACCGGGTAATAACACCATTTGGCTGGCGAGGCTTTCTCCATTCCAGTGTCACAGACTCAGCTTCTACTTCTGTTGCTGTTAAATGAGAGACTTTGCCTGGAACTTATGAAAAAAAAGCAGAGCAGTTAAAGTTAAAGATTTTCATTATAATTTTGAAAATGAAGCTTTAGTAACATTCAAATTTTNAAAAATACCAGGGATACCACAAGATATCCCTGCCTACCGGGAAAGTAATTTATATAGTTAACTTAACTATATACTTAATTATATACTTAACATGGTTAATCACATGACCCTGTTTTATTGCATTTAAATGTAAGGAATATATGGGGTGAAATTCTACCTGGGTTTAAATTTACTCAGTTTATGTGGTTCTCAATAGAATTTACCCAGAAAACTGTCTTACATATTAAGGCTGTAACTAAGATTTTTGATTTGAACGCTCTAAAATGCCACATAAGTAGAGTAAATCTTTTCCCAGGTGGAATTTCTCTCCAATAAAATAAATCGGGTTAAATTACTGAGCACTGTGTGGCACACTAAGGCGTGCTTAACTGCTTCAATGTATTGACCTAAGGAATGGTGGGATACTGTTCCACAGCCACAATTCCTGAGTTTTAGATCTCAGCCATACCATCAACTGATCCTGCAAGACTGTGTTTTCTCACAGGGGTTGAGAGAAAATTAATCAGTGAGTAATCCAGGATTATTTTGTGCACCTCCCACTGTGATATTCGCAAACAACAAATTTCAAATCCTCAAAGTCAGCAAACTCCAAAAATGGCTGGCGAACATTAGTCAGAATCGTTCTTGGAGAAAATGTATTCCCACTTAGCATTTTTTCCTGTTATCTGTCAATTGCTGCCATCTAATGGTGGCAGTGTAAAAATCTTCATTCTCTGCTGTAACACAAAAGAAAAGTCACCAGGCAAAATGATCCCTATCGCAAAACAAATGTTTCTGCATTACCTTTCACTACCTTATTGGAAATTAATTAAGAGTGAGATGGGAAAGGAAGGCATTCAGCCAGACAGGCAGAGATGCATTGAGAGAGAAAAGCAGGGATCTGTTTACACCTTATTGTTATCTGTCAGTATACTGAATAAATTGCTGTTTCAGTTTGAATTGTGCAGGCAGTAACAAAATAGCATTTTGTTTTAACCTTAATGTGTTTGCAATCGAGGCTCTTAAAAATGCCTCCCTCCCATTCTGGTGGAGAAAAACTGGTGGGGAAAAAATTCAAATGGGAATTTAATTAAAATCACTCATCCGAATCACCTAAAAGTATGAAGTGTTATGTTATAGACATTTCTATTTCAACATTGTGCAGTAGGTTTACACTGTACCTTCTGGAGATGTAATGACTGTCACATTGGCTTTTGGTCCAGGTCCCACTGCCGTCTCTGGGGTAACAATGACTTCATATTTTATAAAAGGCAGCAGATTCACAAAGAAAAACCTAAGGTCTCTGGTGGTGTTATACGATATTCGTCCTAAATCCAGATAGATAAATCATTATACATTGCAAATAATTTAAATAGAAAGTGTTTGAGATTACTGTAGGGCCATCAGGCATTAGTTTGTCTCCATTGGTAGCACTCACAAATCTGGATCATAGGCTTGTGAGTTCAAGCCCCAAGTTGGGATTTAAACTCATAGTCCAGGGCAGTACTGGAGAAATGCTGTATTGCTCACTTTGAGATGTCATCCTGATGTGAAAAGCGCTATATTGAATGCCAGGATAATTAATCGTTATTATTGTTATTATTGAGGTAACATTCTTCAGATGTTGTATCAGGTTGGTCAGGTGAATATCAAAGATCCCATAACACTGTGGGTTTCGGACACTCTTAAGAATAGTGATGGGTTTCTGCATGTGTCAGGCACACAACCTGACGCCAAAATAATAGTACTGGAGAGCAATGACATCTCAGATTTCAAGCTCTCTACCCCAGCTCTACTTTATAATATTTTCAACTCTATTATAGACTGAACAGCTGGATTCTAATGCATGGCTTGTTTACTTTGTGATACATAATAAACACCTATCCATGAAATGATCACTTTTTAAAACTAGGGTCAGTTTAACACTATTAAAGAAGGTTGCAGCATAATTGGAAGCTATGCTGTGTGCGAGGCAGTGTTTGAGTGCTCATTCAATTAATTCACTGCTCGTCAGCAGTTGCACTCTATGTTGCAGAGGGGCCTGGAGCATCCAGTATGTACAGCCCACTTCAGCCTACTGTTCAACCAACTAAGCGATGTGAACCTACTAGTCGAGAGTATCAGACTCTGCCCACTAAGCAGGTCAAAGTCATTTGCATCGTGTCAGCTCCAGCTGATCTTCTGGAACCCACAAAATTTGAATTCACAGTCACAGCCCTTCTCTCCTCCATATCACACACAGATATTTTTCCAAGTGTTTGACCTTAATCTGTGCCCTTTGGAGTAGAGTTTCAGATAAATTAGTTCACTGTATGTTGGACCAATCAGTTTATGACTGACACCAATACCAATCCAACGCTACCTTGACAACTGTGTAATTTGTACAATGTGTTCTGAATTTAGAGGGATGTTTTATTCCAGCAAAAAGAAATGTAAAGGAAGTATTTGTGGATCAGGCCGATTGAAATTAGAGAGTTTTTCAGTTCTCTATTTGACTTTCCAATGCTGTTAACAAAGGAGTCACTGAACTGAGATGGCAAGCGACACAGTGGTCCAAGGATTCATTCTGAGGGGACTGAATTAAATAGGCCAGAGCTTTCCTTGTTGTTGATAGCAACATAGTGTGAAAAAGCAGAATAAACTAAAATTAAAGTTTACTTTTTCTGCATTTATTTTTAAAGTTTTAATAGTTTCCGTGTAAATTAGCTATTCAAAAGTCGACAGTAAAAGAAACAAATCACTTTCTGGAATAATCACACCACTTACCTGAAGGCCCTCGAAGCTCAACTCTGTAAAATAATCTTCCTGTTATAGTCAGTGGTGGATCCCAGTTGATTATAAATGACTTTGATGTGAGGTTACGGAAGACTAGGTTTTGAGGTGGTTCTTCTGGAACTGAAAATCATTGTTCAGCCTTTAGCTCAGTGATCACGAACTGTTCAATGCACATTGATGAAATGCAATTCACCAGAATATCACAGTTAAGAATGTTACTTTTTTAAAATATATTAATTTTTTTCTAGCACAAACTACCTGGCAATGTCACATGGACTGAGGTTCAAGGTGTTTAATAAAGGGCAGATCTTACACTGAGACTAAACATAATGAATAGAGTAAGTCAAGTATTAACAAAGGTGTTTCTTCACTTTACAGAAACTTCATATGTAGCATTAATAATACAAACATGACTAACATATAATACATCCTTACCGTTACAACAGAAGACCGTTAATTCAGCAAGGAATAAAATTACTATTATGTTCATTTCCAGCAGTTTTAGAGTTTTTCATATGTTTAAGCAACGTTTCAGCAAAGCTGGGTTTTCGACATGGCTCACAAACAGCCTCACTCATCCTTAGTCTTGTAATATGCTCTTGTAAGTGATCCTTCCATAATCATTTTCATTAAATGATCAGTCCGCAGAAATCTAGTAGGATTAACCTAAAACTCACTGACAATCCCATTCTAGCTGTAAAGTTCAAGGCTTTGACAAATACACAACTTTCATGAAGTAAAGAGCGATAAAGTGCCAATGCAAACGTTTACAAAGAACAGGGATTGATCCTGGAATATGTTGTGGCTATAGGTCATGCCTTTGCATACTTAAGGTCAACATGCTTTTTTATTAGTACTACTGACAGTCTGTTGACATTCACCAGATGGTTTCAACTGAAAACTCACTGAGGAACTGAGAAAGCTGGGAAGTTCTGCCTCCTACTGATCCGTGGGAAATACAGATGTTTGCGCAGATGGAATACACCTTAGCCAAGCGGGCATTATTTTCTGTTTGCGTAGAACATTTATGGCAAAATTCCTACATTTACATGACAAAATGACAACACAGGAACATCTCTCTTAAATTACATTTGCGAAGAATTTCAATTGTGTGTGGCTCAGTGAACACGGCTAATTACAATTTGCAAAACTCCCCATGGTTTAGCTGTAAGTGCGTCATTGACTGGATCGAGACATGAATTGCTACATTTCCAACAGCTGTGGAGAATTAAGCACAGATAATTATGATCTGGCTCAGGCAAACTTCAATGTAAGAACTTTTCATTGGTTGCTGGCCTTCAAAGCACTTTTTGGAAAAGGTTCCTTCTGCTTTCCCAGTGAAAAAGTATATCGCTGAGGTTAAATGTACTGCTCAAAATGTACACAACTGGTCAGCTCAGGGAGACAGGATAGTCTGCAGGCAGCCCAGGGGTTCAAGAAATACAAACTAAATTTACATTGATAGCACAGTTTTGTATTACTTTGTTCCTGACATCAAGAAAGCAAGGTTAATTCTAAAGTGTTGTGTTTAATCAGGGAGTGGCTCTAACATTCCACTGATATCTTTAAAGCCAGGAAAGAACAGATGGTATAGATCATTCCAACTTTTGGATGAGTTTCTATGTAAAAGAATGCTTAGGAGGTTGTTACAGTTCACAGATTTCACATAAGTCATGAGGCAAGATCAACCATCAAATAAATATATTAGAAATGTTTTTTTTAAAAAAGAGTTGTGCAATTCTAAAATAAATTATTTTTCTTTCTCTGTTCAAGATCTAACACCAGATGTGCTTAATACTGATTCAAAAGCATATTGTTTTAGTTATACAAACATCATACTTTACTTGGCTGATGAAAAGTTGCACTCAGTGCAACAAAGAACTGATGTTTTGAATATGAATATGCATAGCAAAGAGTGCAACAACACTTACTCCACTCTGGTGTTCTGAACAAGGCACTTGTTATCTGACCTTCCCCTTCTTTGGTAAACGCAGACCCTTCACACAGGTAGGTGGTGTACGGGTTCAGATGAGTCACCAGAACGCTGGCAGACTGGAGTGCTACTCTCCCTGGGTTTTCCGACGTGACTGATTGAAATGCAGTGCCAGCAGATGCTGAAGTTGAAAGCGATGCTGAAGGAGTGGTACTTGATGAAACGTCATCCTACACAACCACAAAAGTCAATATTCACCTGTAAATCACTAATCAGTCTGTGTTTAGAATTGTGCCAAGTAATCGTCCCGTGTTAACATTGCATTCGAGGACAGCTTGGAAATACAACTCATTGGAACAGAATTGGAAGAGACCTAGGAACAGCCAAATTAAGATCTAGAGACTATTTATGCAGAACTTTCACTCAGATGCTTACATGGGATAGGATTCAATAATCATATATGATCCGTGAAAAGATTGACTTTCTCATTTCTTTATATTGTTAAATAAAAGTTAGTTCAGTCTTTTTTTTTAATTAAATTTAATGTTGTGATGAAGAACAGTAGTATGGTTATTTGGAAGGATGAGAATAAATTGGCTGAAAGGCCTCCTTCATCTTGTGATCTTTTGTGATCTAAAGCCCTGTGAGATAGATATATTTTGGTACATTAGAAAATTGGATTCAGTATATTTTTGAGTGGGTCACATTTCACAAAACCTGCAGATTTTCTTGGGGTTTTTATGCATAATTGGTTCATTAAAATAATTATTTCAAAACACTGTAAAAAGAAAGATAACTGTATTTCTCAACATATAAACCATGCTGGTATTCAACAACTTGCATTTATATAATAATCCTTACATTTGATATAGTGCATGCAAATGATGGCACCTCCACCAATGCAGCACACCCCCAGCACTGCAATGGAGTGTTAAACTAGACTTTATGAGTTCCAAGTCGAGACACGGGGCTTGAACCCACAACCTTCTGACCCAGAGGGCAAATTTCCACCAACTGAGCCAGGCTAATACACAATTAACTTTAACCACAAGGAAAAACTGAGTAGGTTCTTCAAACTGAGTTCTTCTCACCTACCTCACATTGTGTTAAAGTGTTTGGGAAAAGCAAGTCTGCCTTCAGAGTCATATTTTTCGACAGCTTTCCACTTCTTGCAAATTTTACAATTATTCTGAATTGAGTAATCTTCCCATTCGGTTGTTGAGGTAGAAACCATGTCACATTGGCCGTTGTGTGATTGACAGCAGTTGCAGAAAGCAAGGAAACGGCACCGGGAGCTGGAAAACAAGCATGTAAGAAAAGTAAATTCAATGTTCTGAAAACATTTTACTTGACCTTTCAAAATGGCTGCAAGTGCTTTGTATGGAAAGGTGTGTTGATCATTTCAACTTAGTGAAACAAACCCATAAAACAAAAATATTCTTAACACGTATAATTATTTTTAGACTTCTCTGCTTCTGGTCCTGTCTCCTCTTGCAGAGATGTGGGTCCACAGGTACTGGTTGCCCTCCAGTATCCCACCCATGGGATCCTTGGCACTAATATCTTTAAAGCCAGCCAAGAACAGAGTGGCAGCAGCCCACCGAACTGTACAGGGCATCGCAAGACTGACCTCTCCCTATTCAGCTGCCCCACAATGCTCAATAATAGAGAGGGCTGAGGTGCAGGAACTTTGTCTGGTTTTAGCCTCCCTAACCCTTGGGTGTCTAGGGCCTAATTTACGTCCATGAATTTGTTAAAACTAGCAAGCTCATGGCAAACTAGGATTCAAAGTAGTGAGCTACTGGTCTGTAAGCTGCAGCTCCATCCACTGCACCATCAGGGCTGTCAGACATGGACAGGTTCACAGTGCTGCACGGGAGCTATTTTAACATTAGGACTGAAGTACATATTGGAATGTAGTGAAGGGATTTTTTACTGTGCATCCATCCATTATATATTTGACTTAATAGTGTTTCATGGTGCCGATTCGATAACAACTTTAAGAGAGAAGCTAATTGGGAAGGACAAGTTTGCAGGGCTATGGGATTTGCGGGGGAGTGGGATTGACTTGGATAGCTCTTTTCAAAGAGCCGGAACAGACATCATGGGCCGAATGGCTTCCTTCGTTGCTGTAGAATTCTATGATTCTATGCTGACACTGGGCTAATGCATTTCATGATCTAGATAACTTTGGAATTCTGCGTAAGAGAAAAATAGTAAAGATCATCGTCTTGTTTTAAAATTGATCAATGTGACCAATGACACTTGGCACACAATGATTTTCCAGCAGTGTAAATGTAGGTGTAGCCTCAAAATGATGACAATAATATTAGACTTACCACTCTCTGCTGTTACAACTCTTCGAAAGTTACCAAAAGCTCCAATACCTGCACCATTTTCAGCTGCAACCTGGTATTGTAAATAAAATGCAACATGAAATCAGTATTGCTCTCTGAAAAAAAGTTTAGATATTAACACCCTGAAACTGTTGCAGAATCTAGTTTTAAAATATTCAAATTTTTACAACTGCTTATTTTTTAAAATAAAACAGTATGATGACAAAAGGTATAATGTTTATTCCTTCTTCGTCTTATGGGAACATGAAGTGGCATTTTAAAATATATAACAGGTGTGATTTTAAACAGATTTTTCTGATTTTTTAAATCAATATTGCAGCAATAACCTACATTCATATGTAGTGTTACACATTAAAAGAAATTTCAAAGAGCTTTATAGAATGAGATTTATTAGAAATCCACGGAATGTTTTTGTGGAAGCAAAAACAGGCATATAATTTGTGCCAGCAACTTGTATTTCATTGAAAACAAAATCTTACCTGAATTTTATAAGCTGTTCCTGGTTTCAGGTTATTGAGAAGGAACTCTGGAGTTTCTGAATTTGTCATAAGTTGGATAAAGCTGGCTTGTTGAACAGGACAGACCTCTTTGTACTTCACCACATAAGAAAATATCCTTCCACTTGGACTCAAGGGTACACTCCAAGCCAGCATTATTGCAGTGGCGCCAATTGGTTCATCTACAATATCATATGGAGGATCTGGCACTGTGAAAAATAATACATCAATATAAAAAGTAATGTAATATTATATGGAGTCTTGTAGCTTAGTGGTGAGAGCACTCGTCTCACAAGTGAGAAGACCTGAGCTTGATTCCCGAACAGTACGTGATGTTGAGCAAGTTTCCTTACACCACACACCTCTGTTTACCTAGTAGTAAATAGGAACCCGGTTGTTAGTCGATTGGCGGATCGCTTTTCTGGGGGCAATATCCCTTCAAAAAATAAATAATAATAACTTGGTCACTCAATCCACGACTGTTTGTGGGACACTGCTGTTTGCAATTGGCTGCTATATTTCGTCCACAAAATATACAGTCAATTCACTCTACAGCATATATTGTGAAGCACTTTAAGACATCTCGAAGATGTGATAAGGCGCTATATCAAACACATGGATTATTATTATTATATATGGATATATGTTGATACATAGCGTTACCCAGCAATGAATAATGATGAACATCAGACAATGTACTATGGAAATTAATAAGAAAGTTAATATGAATTCACAAAAAAAATGGAACCTTTATGTTTGTGGCTATAATAGCCCTTTATATTAATGAGTTTATTGTTTCTAATGAAATCACACGCCTATTAACTATAATCAGCAAAAATGGAAACTCAGTAAATGGTGAGAAAGGCTTACGTTTGCACACGTTGCAAAGAATAACATAGTGTGGAATTGGTTGTAAGGCAGCGTTAGCCCTTTAGGTTGAGATGACATGATAAAACTTCACTCTTTTACTTCATAGTTTCACCCAATGGTGCAAAATTTCATTGGGATACAGGTGAGTTAATGATAGGATTTCAAGAGTAAGCAGCACAAGCCNTTTTTTTGACAACGTAAGAAATTCCACAGGGCTTTTTGTTGGAATAAAACAAATGTGCTAGTTCCATCAAAACAACAACAACTTGCATTTATAAAGCGGTCCATCGTCCAGGACAGCTTAGCAATTGCGGAGCCTGATGCCGAGCCGGGGGGAGGGAGGAGGTGACCGTTTGTACAATCAAAGAGAAAGGTCTTATTTTTAATGACACTCGATTAACCACTTACGTAAGGCCCAGTTATCCTCAGCAATGAATTGAAAAGACTGCCAAGCATATAAGAAAATAGAACTGACTAAAGTGTTGATTTTTTTCCCCTTATATGGACTACCCAGAATAATTTCGTACCATGTTGCACATAGACTTGCTACGTGTTATTTGACAATCTGAACGACAACATCCTGACAACATATTAGAAAAATCACAACTAAAATCATCATCTCAACCAGCAAAATATCTGTAAAACAGCAGATTCAGCATTAACGTATGAGACAAGGTTTACACGCTTGAACGTCCATCTTTCCTCGACAAATAATTAATAATGAAATAATGGAAACATTATCTAATTTGAACTCTTGCCAATTAATAAAATGCTGGATTCCTATTACAGTGTTACCCTGTGGCTGCGCTACATACACGTGTATACACATAAACAGTGGATTTCTGTAGCTGATTGGTTAGAGCACTCGCTTTGGAAATGAGAGACCTGGGTTCGATTCCCAGCAGGGTGAAACCTTGGGCAAGTTTCCTTATTCCACACGCCTGATAATAATCCCTCAAGAAAATAAAACAATAATAAATTGGTCACTTCAAGTCATGACTGTTTGTGGGACACTGCTGTGCGCAATTGGCTGCCGCATTTTGCCCACAAATATACAGTCAATTCACTTTACAGTCTATTCTATGAAGCGCTTTTAGACGTCTAGTGAAAAGTGAAAGTGAAAAGTGAAAAGCCCTATATCAAATGCAAGGATTATTATTTATTATGTAACTGGCCGAGAAACAATGTTAAAACCCAATTACTCAGACAGTGGTATTGGCACTTAATTATTTTTCCACACCTTCCACTTCGTAGCTGTGATCTTAGCTTTTTCTGGATTTCAAACTGATCTGCCAGCCTCAGTTTGTATACATAGTTGTATCCATGTTACCAGAATCTTATTAGAGATTGACTGAGCTACTGTTTTTGTTTATTGCCGGGAAAAGCCTTTAAACATTCCTTGTTTTCAAATTTCAATCTAGAAAAAGTAAGGTATGCTAAAGACAAACAACGGTCATAGCCTTTCCCTCATCTCTATACAGTATTGTACAGCAGGTTATTTGAATGGAAAATCTTTAGGTTTTACACGACTATAATCTAGATATCATAACTCCAGTCACACACCACCATTTCTTGTTTGGAATGTGCTAGTACACAGGTTGTTAAATTAGTGGATATATAATTATGTTACAAACAACCAGTCATAAATATTCATGATCACATTGCTGACTGTAGTTTATTAACCTGAAGAAAACAAAATGGATTTAGAATTTAAGTCTGTTTTAGCCCCTTCTTTGAGACACAGCACCATTTTCTTAAGACTATCAAAAAAAGGCATTTTGCAGCTGTTTTATAACTATTTGGCTTGATTTATTTAAAAAACTAGAATCATTAATTTTATTTTATTTGGTGCATTCCACTGAACTTACGTAAAGGGTGTGTGACTTATTCTTATCTCCATTCCAATGGTGGAACTTATTCCCACCGTAAACTCTTTATGCTGTTCGCATTGTATTTAACTACCAAATTCAGACAATGCAAGGCAAAGTACTGCAGATGCTGGAAATCTGGTATAAACACAGAAGTTGCTGGGAACACACAGCAGGTCAAGCAGCATCCATGGAGAGAGGAAAATGAGTTAAAGTTTCAGGTCTATAACTGTGCAAGGTTGTAGTGATGTTTTTGACATCTCAGATCTCATCTAATAAACAATTTATATAATTTCAATAAAAATATTAATTCTAATTTCAGAAAAGCAATCAACTTATTGTTTGAAAAAACACTATTCTGCGGTTTAGTAACCACTCAGAAATATGCCATCAGTTAAAACATTTATAAAATGTATTGTTCATTATCACATCTGCTTATTTTTAAAAAATCACAAACAGTTTAACAAAATGACAATCAACCTTTATCATTTCACAAATAGGCACATGTTCCCAAATGCAACACACCTACTTACAAGATTCATTTGTCGTAAATGATCTGCTGACAGACTTGCTAAACGATGAAGAGACTGAAGAGACAGTGACGGTGTAATCTATGCCAGGGGTAGCACCAGAAACAACAGCCTAGTTAAGTACAAGCAAAGGCAAAATATGATTTGAGACAAATATCCAATTGAACAAATGTAGAACTATCAAATGCTATTTTGCGTCACCAAGTTCAAAAAGTCTTTGTCTTTTGAAAATACTGTGTGTACATCCAGTTTCCAATACCTTAGCTATCTGAACTAAAACAATCATTAACTTCATCATAAGTCAGTGATCATGAAAATCATATTTAAAATAAAGTGAATACCTTTGTCCTTGTGGCTCCAAATATGAATGCAATTGAAGATAAAATAAACAGTGCCATCATTATTGCATTGTAGTTGTCAGCACAGTTCACTGAAGTTCGGCTGTGCCTACTTCTCTCGATTGGACTATGATATGGGACAGGTCATTAAACATTTAGCAGACCTGCTGGGCAGGCTGCGTAATTAATGTCATTGTGTTGAATATCACCACACTTCCTGCACTACAGTATTCATGAACCTCCAACAAATAACTATACCTGAGGTAAATCCCTCAAAAAGTTTATGAGGTTCTTGTAAGAATCAGCAAAATGGAAACAGGCAAAGGTAGCCTGGTTTTCAATCGTTTTTCAAGCAATTCTAGCTTCATCCATGCATGTGCATATGGTCAATTACTTTATAGTGCCTACAGCACTCTAAGAATCAACCCTTCCTTATAGGTCACTTAATGAAAGTCATACCTGGAAACTACCATCCCCCAAGTCTGTGACATGAACAAAGCCTTGATCAGGATCAAGATCCACTTTGTAGCGATCCACATGTCCAAAAGGCGCTCTCCAATGCACAACAAACGATCTTGACAAAACATTTGAAATTTCCAGCATCCGAGGTTTTTCGGGTACTTGACGTAAAAACAATATTTCTTTTTTGGAACTTTTAATGCATGTATGCTTCAGAATATTTTAACTATGTATAAATATTACCAGAATTTAAAAAAAATTAACAGATACTTACAACACAAATCTTATTTTAATTATTATAATTAGAAATAATGGGGTGAGAGATCATATGTTACACAAACAATTGTCTAATATACACTTAAAACATTCTACAACCTGATGTCCTCCCGATGTGAAATGCGCTATACAAATGTAATTTTGTTTTGTAATTTGCCTTGAAAATGCACATTTACTTTGAATAGGATTATTCTATTCTATTCTCTAAGCAAATTGTCGTGTGCATATATGGAATTCCTGAGCCTTGAACACACAATTGCTCCCAAATGGTGTATGTTGCAGTAGAATGCAATTCTGCCTGTCTGCACCGCTTCCCAAATGACATTGATAGCATTGGTGTACCTTTGGGATGATAGTTTTAATACATTATTAAATTTAGATTATAGTTTTAATACATCCTCCTGACATGAAAGGCATTATATTAAGGTGTATTGTACTAACAGAGATACTTCTGATAGACTGCGATGACATTAGCAGCTGCAGCAAAATAACAAGTAGATCATTGGAGGCCTTACTTGTTGTTACTCTCTTCACAATGAGGTCACTGCAATCCTTGCCTTTAATGGTTTTCACCTGAAAAATATATTCTTCTCCAGGAATAAGGTCTTTGATCCTAAACTTATTGCCATGTATAGTTGTTTCATATATTGCTTTATTGCCACGAGACAAGAAGTACTTCAGCTGTGAAAAGATCACAAGTAAAATTGGTATTTATTTTAGGTGTATTGTATTTATAATAATGTGATTATGAACCTATAAACATCTGGTTAATCATCTCCAAATTCTGAACTAAGTTCAGTGTAAAGAGGAAAATATACCACACACAATGGCTTGAAATAGAAAGATAGTAAGGCAGGGTAAATGGCAGGACAGGAATCATAATGTATATGTTTATTTCTATAATGAAATGATCGTGCAAGATGATAAAAATAGGAACATAACCAGGAGTTAGTACTAGAGGAAAAAAATTAAACTGCATCTGCCCCCGCCACTATTCTATATCTTCCTCCACTTTCTTTAATTCTTCTTCAAAGTTTGCATTACACCCAATGTATTACCATCAGGAAATTAGATATCACTCCTCCCAGCCTTATTTTGGAATCATTTACATACAATTTCATACATCAGGATAAAATTAAACAGGATTGAGCACAACTTGAAGAAAATAAATTCCACAAAGTGCTCGATTTCCAGTTGATTTATTTTGATCAACATGTTAAAATGAAAAAGCAGAATTGAGTGTTATAACAACAGAAACAACTATTTGAATATATATATATAATTCCCTTCATGTTGGATAATGTATTGGAGAGTTGGATGCTGAGCAAGAAGGAAAGGGGAGATGATAATACGTGTGGCCAAAGAGGCAGGTTTTAAGGTGGGATTTCAAGATAGATGGGTGGTGGGGGAGGCAAAGGGAAAAGGGGCAGAGTTCCAGACATTGGGAGCATAATGACTGATGGCTTGGCCACAAACAATGGCATATAGGGAGATAAAGATACATATATATATATATGTATAAAACAGATGAAGTATCAGTCAGTAGTGAGCAGGCAGAACGTTTGGTTGCAGCCATACATTTTTCTTTTGATATATAATAAAAGATATGATGAAGAATCGCATCCAAATAGTTAACATGTATTTTGCTCTCCTTCAAATACTAATTGCCTTATTGTGGATTTCAAGTTATTTGTGTTTTCCTTTTGTGCTCTTTATTGATCGTGTTTTGTGTCCTGAACCAGCAGCTGAATTCTAGCTAATGTCTAACCTTACATGTTTTATGATAAAATATAATGTTGTACACTGGCATAAGTTAGACTTACTCATTGTACAGATACTTTGCTACAACTCCTTCTCAATTATTACTCTAACACTCAAATATATCTAAAAAGAACAAGCTATCCATTAATTAATTTTACATGAGTAGAAACTTAATCCAGCTTTTACAGGTCCATATTGCAAGGTGACCCATCTAATGATGCCTGAATCATTAAATATTAAAACATAGCTTCATTTGTTTAAAAAAAAGATCTCCATTTGTTTCCCATAGATAAGGTGTAAATTTAGTAAAGCAAAATTAGTTTTCTGCATCACCAGGTATAAAACAAAAACAAAAGTATAATTTAATAATTATGTTATTTTAAGAGTATATTACAATTAATAGCAAACTTTTAGTAAACTTACGCATTTGCCCATAAAACATACTTCACATGAAGCACTCCTATGAAGCACTTTGAGACATCTTCCCAATGTGAAAGGGGCTAGACCAAATATAAGGATAGCAATACACAAAAGTTTTACTCACCTTAAAAGCATCAAATTGCCCCCGAGGAGATTTCCAAACCAGATAAGCTGAATTCTCATCCTGTTCAACAAATTCCAAATCTGCTGGAGGTTCAGGTACTGAGCAAAACAGATTTCTTATTACTATCATTATTACCACTATTTTTATATTATTATTATTTTCAATATTTCAGTCCTAACCATCTAGGACATACATGTGACGTAGTGTACATACATGAGCAATATGCATATTACTAAATGCAAGTTTGGCAGGTATTCTTTGCAGATACAGAATATAATTTTGAAACCAACACAGAAAAATATTCAATAAAATGTACTGTGTCATCACTGTATATGGTACAATAATAACATCTCAGCAGCACAACAAGAAAGCGTTGATTTAACTTCAGCTGCTGTCTTCAAACACTGGAATGTTCTCAGGTGTGAATGTTAAGACATGAGAACACATGATAAATGTGTATTAGCTATCTGGTTATCAAAACGTATCCCCATTTCCCACTTCACATTGAGTGGTTTGCTACAGTGCTGTACCAAAACTCTCGATTTCAAGATCCTCACACTTGTCTTCAAATCCCTTCATGCCCTGGCACTGCCCTACCTCTCTGACCCTCTTACTCCCCAACCCATTACCGCTGCTCCATTCGACTGGCTCTGGCCTCCTGCTTGCTTGTCCCACATGCCCTACTTTCCACCATCGGTGGCCGCACTTTCAGGCACTACATCCCGAAACTCTGGAAGACTCTTCCTCTATCCCTTCGCCTTGAGCCATCATTCCCCATCTTCAGGTCATGCCTGACAACCTTCCTCTTCAACTGTGCCTTCGGTCACCTCCCCCCTCCATCCGACTCGGTACTCCACCACTGCTCAGCGCTCTGGAAAGCTACCCTGCATGAGTGGTGCTACATAAATGCAAATTGTTGTTGTCTCATAATTACACAAACCATAAACACAAGCACGCTAGCCAGTCAACATAGGTGTTTTTTAATTAATTAAATTATATTGTCATTTTCAAAGTAGTCACTGAAGTCAGTGTGGGAAAAAATTAAAGCAAACTTTAACAGACTTATTGTACAAGCAGTACAGCTTGCCTCTCATTGAGTAGATCACAATAAACATATGTAAGTCATAAGTTCAGGTCTACCTGATTTTAATTGAGTACATTCTTTCCAGGTGTCCACCTGGCTCAACAACAATTACATTTCTAATCGTAATTCAGTTAATAAGACTCAGACTCAGTTAATAAATTGTTAGAGGTTCAGCTGCAAGTTAAACTGATGTCTGCATGTTCACATGGACGTAAAAGAACCCATTGCACTAATCATAAAGAGGAGGGAGTTTTCTCCCAGTGTTCAAGCCAACAATCCTCCAAATAAAAAGAAATGGTCACTCACTTAATTCCTGTGTGCCCAATGGTTGCTGCATTTGCCTGTAAATATACAATTACTAACCTTTAAAGAAAAAAACTCTTGTGTTTTGAGATTTTTTGGTGTGGTAAGATACTATATCAAATGCAAGGATTATTATTAATAAATGCACCTCACAGACTGGCTGAAACCAGTGTCAGGAAATATTCACAACTGATATTATCTGGAATAATCATAGCACAGCCCAAAATGCCTCAACCATCTGATTGGCTGAGGCTATCTAATGGTGTGTCATCAGAATAATTTGTAAAATAAACAATGATGAGATCCATATACAATAGTTACATGAATATGTTCATAACAAGTACAAATGCGGGGGGAGTTTTACCAAGACATTCTTGGCTTTAATAATTAAACTTACATGTTCTAACACTGATTGTTGTGGGGTGGCTTCTCTTTGTTGACCGAGTTGTATGAATGGTTACAAAGTAGATGGTTCCTGGTGTTAGGTTGTCAAAATTATATATTCTGTTCAAAATCAATCACAGAAAGAAATTGCTACTTATATTAAGTCATCTACCAAGTCTTCTGTTATTCAGTATACTGTATATTAATTACATGACATGTTACGTTTACTATAATTTAATTACTGTGGATAAATAATATTACAGTCATATAGTTTAGATTATTTACAATTGAAATGCGAGGAAGGCCTAATTTAAAGATCATATTAATATCTTACCGGGGGTGTGTAACTGGTAGTTTGATTGTCTGAAGGATTTTTTCACGGGATAGTGTAACATTATATCCATCACATGAGTCAGCTGGTTCTTGCCAGTTGACACTTATTGAATTAGAAGTCTTGCTATAATTAAAATATTCCACTGGGCTGGGCACTGAATTAGAAAAAATACTCATAACAATGAATGATTGGTTAACAATCAATTATTTATAAAAGAACTCAGATTCAACATTTATAATAATCCAAAAGTGATGTGCATTTATGAAGAAATGGACAAATTATTTTTTCAACAAAGAGCAGAGGCAGTAAATGCAATTCAATCCACATCTGAAAAAGATGTGATGCCATTTGACACCATACTCTTTTATTAAATGAACATTTGGAAATGAAATTTGGCTAAATAGGACTTTTTATTCTTCCATGTGTTCACCGGAAATAATATAGAGCGGTAAAGTACCAAACATACAGTCAATTCACTTTACAGTATATTCTGTGAACTCTTTGAGACGTCTCGAAGACGTGATAATGCGCTATATCAAATGCAAGGATTATTATTATTATATAAGTATCAGAACCTCTCATCAGTGGAAAATCTATATGACAGTCGACTACTATTATAAATAAAATACAGAAATAACTATTGAAAAAGCTTTAAAGAATATTGAAAATATTATATTTCCTTGTAAACTATCGTAATCCATGTCTTTAGTTTTGAAAGCCTACTGAAGAGACTGATATCTGTTAATCAATGATGTTGTATCACATTTATATTTAGAATTAATTTGGCATATTAAAATGCTGTAAAATAAAACTAATCTTATTGCATCCTTACTTGTAAATATTTGCTGTATTACTTGCGTGCTATCTCGGTAGCCTTCCTTCTCTGTTCGAAGTGAAACGTTATACAATGTTCCAGGGGCCAAATGTGTAAATTCTGCATGCTCTTGTTTGACCTTTCTAACCTGAAAGTGGTCAATTACACTATCAATTTGACAGTTTTGTTACACTTCTCACTCAACACACATATTACGAAACATATTTCAAAAATGAAAGTGGATGTTAACCAGAAAGGGAAACTTGTCCTAAGACAATTGGCTAAAGATAATTTCAGAACATTAGGGAGGATTTACTGACTTCTAAGCTAACTACGTATACTAACAGATATTGATGGAGCAAAAGAAAGCATATTCAGCTCAGGGTGCAGTGGTCACTATGTTTTTTTTTAAATGTAGTTATACTTCCGATCAATATAGGTCTACTTTAGAAAAATATTCTTATTCCTATCAATCCTGAGATCTAAATGTGTATGTTTTTTGACATTTAGAACTATCAGTCATGCATATGGGCAAGATATCAATTAGTGTAAAGATAAATAAAACAAGAATATTGCATCACTGAAACTTATTTATACTTAAACCTCTAATCACATGAAATTAAAATAATGGTCTTAAAATACACAGCATTATTGCATATTTTCTAGAGTGTATACTTTCATATAAACAATGAGGCCTCATTTGTAAGTTACCATCAGTTGCATGTCACAGTTTGTACATAAAACTTCATATTGGTAAAAGTGACCATCTGCCTTATCCCACAGCAATTCCATTGATGTTTCTGTAACTCTGCCTTCACGCACATTAGTGGGTGGTGCTAAGCCTAGAACATACAAAGTTCATCAGTTTTACCAAACTGACCCAAAAATAAATTGGATCATGATATGTGCTTAAAAACAACATAAATTACTCCCAAAGTTTACAAGGGAGATACAGCTGGCCAGGTAACTATTGCAGCAGTTACTGGATCACATCAGAAGAAAGATTTGCCTTTGTTACATTTCACTTTGTACCAGAGTAGAACACATCATCATTTCTGCTTCTAAATTGATGCAAGTCAATTAAAAGGTTATTGTGGTTTACTGTTTGAACTATACATGCAAGTTATGGTTGTTTTTAAATGGATCTTAGTGCAACACAGATACTCACATGTTTTCACAACTGGGACTCGATAGACTTTGCTTTTCATGTTGCCACTGGTGGTATACATGGCGAAACTGTACTCTCTGCCTGGTACCAGGTTTTCTATCGTTAGATTTACATCTCCCTTTGCTGCAACTGTTCTTTCGATTTCATCTTCATACATAACATTAAGACCATCGTATGAACCAATGTTTGGCATTCCAACATACAGCACTGTTGAGTGAGTTTGAACATCAATTGGAACAACTATTTCAACAGGTCTAGGCTCTGAAATAGAGAGACGAAGGAAACATCAAGGTCACAACTGATAGAAATCAAGATACTTTTAGCTATTTACTAATAGAATGCCATAAAAATTCTCATTCTCAACATTTGACTTACTCATGGTTTGCGTGATAATGTTTGGTTCACTTCTCTTACCACTCTTTACCATTGCCACTTCAATATCATAGGTGATACCAGGAATCATAAAATTACATTGAAAGGTAGTTTTGTTTATATTAGAGTTCGAATGTTCAATGACGACATCACCACTTTCACTGATTTTCACTTGTATATAGTATTCATCAATGTCTTCAGATGGTGGTTCCCAATTCACAATAAATCTGTCTTCCCAAACATCCTCATGGTTAATAAATACCTTGGCAGGAGGGCTGGGAGCTAAATAAACATTGAATAATTAGTAAATTGGTAGTATATAACTTCTAATAATTTACCCAACATAACAGTCTTTCCTTTTTATTATTATTAATAACAATAATCCTTGCATTTGATATTGTGCCTTTCAGTTCAGAAGGAAGTCTGATCACGGAATTTACTGTGTGATGAGACAATGTCTCAAAGCACTTTACATGTATTATTTTAAAGTGATGTGACTGTGCACTTTGTAGGCAATTGCTTAAGTCAAATATGGTACGCAGTTAATTAGCTCACTTTCCTTGTGTTCATTCATCATGTTCCTCTAAACTTACCTGTGGATGCAAGTACTGGTCCCTCAGCACAACTTAATGATCCTGATTCAGCCACAGTTTGTACATAAACTTTGTAAGAGTGTAATGGCTTGAGGTTTCTGAGCACCACAGAGGTTTCTTCACTCCTGGCAGTTTCAGTGCCCTGATTATTTGATTCAAATTCAATGTAAGTGACAAAATAGCGCTGAAATGATGCATTCTGTGAGCTGTCAGGAGGGGTCCAATGAAACCATAATACAGTGGATGATACTTTTCCAGATGTAACATCTCTTGGTGGATTTGGTCCTGTCAAGTTGCAATGAACAGTCATCAAATAATAGAAAACATATTGATACAGTATAGCACAAACAAGATAGAAAGTGAATTTTGAACTGAAAACATGTTCAACAACATACCAACATAATCAAAACCATATGTTACAGTTTAATTACAAAGTATAGAGATAACCAACGTTGTGCATCTAGCTGGTCCTGTTCAATTTGTGACAAGGTATTCCTTTATAATCCGATTCCCAGACAAAATTTAAGTTGCACAGAATGTAACACTGATGGTACAATCTCTTAACAGTGCAAAGTCTTTACAACTTACGTGTGTATAAACTCAAAATTGGACTAAGAGTTATTTGGGCTCCTGCCACATCTCTTAACTTCAATGCAAAATAGTAGAGGTGTCCAGGGTACAGACCAGAGATAAGTATTCTTGTAGAGTTTGGTAATATGCTGTAGGAATGTCGGTTTTCGTCAGTAGTTTGGTACCAAATAAATAGTTCGGATTCGGTTGTGAATGAATCTTGTAAATCATCCCAGACAAAGGTGGCTCTACTTTCTTGCACATCTACTAATTCTAAACGAACATTCTTTGGAAGAACTAGGACATAAGAACAAAACACTTGAAACGCACAATGCTCAGAATCATTGAAAAAGCACAAATATGGTAAAATTTCAAGTAGATCTGGATTGAATCTGTTAACTTGACATTTCAGTGTGTGTACAATTTGACAAATTGCTGAATTGAGTTTTAAATCTGAAGCTGGCTTTCTAGTAGTTTTCTGTAGAAAACTGAAAACAGGCTTCGAAATTAAACACGGTGTTTAGGAATTCTGGACTCTCTGAAATGTTACATTAATAGAGTAAATCCAAATCATGGTGTCATTTTTATTCAATAGAATGTTAGCATGCTACCGAAACCCATGTGGGCTGAATATAGATGACCTAGTTGTTAATTTGGACATTTCTTGTGGTCAGCCAGGTGTCTGACACATGCATAAACCCATCACCATGCTTACGAGTATCCAAACGAAACTGAGAATTCCATGCATCCCACCTACACATGGAAATTCCAGAGATGACGTGTTGGAGTGGAATGCACAGTCTCTCCCTGGAGGGACACATCCTGTTTACCTAATTCCGGAAAGCATTAGATGCAGGTTGGCAGGAGTCAAGGTTTGAGGACCCCAAAGTGTGCGTTGGCGTCTGACCAGCTAAATCCACATAGCTTGTCATTGACAAGATTGTCTGGCAAGCTTCCCTGTTGCTTGTCCAGCTCAGACCACTCTACCCATTTGGACTTTAGCTTGCAGAATTAACAGGAGATGAGTGGGAGGATTCCCTGCCTCCAGTGACTGGTCATTTAGTTATAAATCTTCTGTGCATATTGCAGAGCCAATGTCAACATTAATAAACACTCATGTGCTTCCTAGCATTGTTAAGCAATCACTTAACAGCAGCTAACCAAAACACAATGTGTGAAAAATTCCTTTTACGATCAAGTTAGTGTCTCTGACACGGTGGGCTTATTCTGGAATTTTCCATTACCAGTGCATGTCAAAGACTTCACACTGTGCAGCCAAAGCAATTGAATCATCTTCATGTGCAAAGCAAACCTCAAATTAAAAAGAAAACCAAAATGCAATCGAAAAGCAGCAGAGATTCGTATTATTGCAAGTCTTAAGGTACAACAATGACTATTACCCAGCGTTTAATTCTCAACATATGATACACTGACAGATAGAAAAGTAAACTAACTACACTCCAGAAATTGAACAGGATAATTATACATTAGTATTATTATTACTGCAGCTGTTGTTTTGAATTAGCATTAAATAGCTTAAATTCATTTTTGGAGTTCGTTACTGCTAGCAATATAACGTTAAAAGTGTGTTACCTTCATATTCACAAATGTATGGTAAAGACAGAAAGCAATAAAACTCTGTAAGCACGTAGTCAGGGCCTATTGGATTCAATTGCAATGCAAAGCAATCAGTCTCATTTGATGGAAGATTCTGCTTAAAGATATTTCTTAGATAGGCAGATTTGTCAGTCCACTGAAGATCTCTTTCTGTCTAAGGAAAGAAGAGGAAAAAAATATTGCTATATAGATCTGTTGCACAGAGTAAAATTAATAATTTCAACTCATACTGGGATTTGTACACTTTCTGTTTGAAGTAACTCTAATATCAATTTCTTAAATCCATGTGCTGTAGCATTTTCTCTACAAGGTACTCTCCATTTTGCTGCACAACCATTCAGCCTGAAATTTCATGTTTGGGCTATTTTGGCACATCTTTTAGGTTACCTCATGAGTGACTATAGATTACCAGGTAGAGATGAAGATTGGCTATCTTGATTTCATGCACCTGTTAAAGACATTCGTGACCCAGTGACTAGAGAGGGCACAAGAGGGGTTTAACATGCCCTCTGATTTTCCCTCCCTCATTCAGATAAAGCTTATTGCTTCTTCCTTTTCCTATACCCTCATAGCATCGCTTAGGAATCAAAAGTGGGAACCAACGTTCTGCAGCTCTGGGATATAACTTGATGCGTCAAAATAGTGAATCAATACATCGCAGTAGGGTTCTAGCCTGCTTATTTTCAAGCACTCTGGGATGCTAACCTGCACGAGTAGGACTATATAAATGCAAGTTGATGTTGTCGTATTTGTTGTTGTTGGGATGCTAACCTGCATGAGCAGGACTATATAAATGCAAGTTGAATGTTGTTGTATTTGTTGTTGTTTATGGTGTCTTCATCTATTGTCAACTATTTCTTTCTATTTCTTCCCCAATGTGTTTCAGTGGAAAAACAATTGCAACAAAGTTAAAGGTAGTCTTGTAAAGCATGTGACTTGATAGTTTTTTTTCCTCAGGGCTAACCTACTTGTCTCCATTGTGATGGTAGTATTCGGTTTCCCTCTTATACCTCAAAAAAAGCATGTCGTGTAAAAGGCTGACTGTTGGAAATAGGAATGTTTCCCTGGCAAAACAAAGCAGCAAAAAACAATGCTGTGATTGTTACTGACTGTGATGTCTAGAGTCCTGTTTGGACAGTTGCTTAACAATTCCGGCTCACATGATACAATTCTTATAGAGAGAGACACTCTTGGTTCAATCCAGGTAAAGTACCTATGTGTACCAATAATCTAATATCATACATTCCCATTTTTGTGATTGGTTTAGGATAGCAAAATATTGTTAGATTAATATCCAATATCTATTGCTGTTGTAATTTGTTATGCATGACAGTACGTCTTTCAACCTTCTACAACTGTGGTTATAATCTTGAACCATACTGTCTCCAGCACAGACCTTGGTTCTTGTCTTCAGTATCAACAATTAATTAGACATTTGAGTCTTTGAGTTAAAGTTACACTGTGCCTGTCATACACTGAAATTTCCATTCAACTTTGACTGAAGACTATCCCTGTGCTGCCCATTAACTCTTGTCACTGACTTATTCAACAAATCATCACTGAACTTTACCACAGAACATAAATTTACTGCATGCTACATGTATGTGAGATGCAGCACACAACATCTGAGTTTAGCATTTAGATTGTGAAATTATATTTTAGGAATAGATTTTGTAAAAATAAATCAAGTGCAACAGTGTCCTTTATTTTGGCCTTTTTAGTCATTTGAGACTGCAGCACTGAATAACGTTCATGTGTTAAAATCAGAGCATGCCTTCAGATGGATGAGCTTTTCTCTGTAATCTTAAATGCATTGTGTTCAGAGGGCAGCAATCATCTCGACAACCACTATCTCCATTTAAATTAAACACAGTTTCAAGAATGCTGGCAACAACACAGCCATTGAGAGGAGCTCACCACTTTTCATCCATTAGAAAGATAATTATCCACTAACAAAGGTTATTGGATTGTCCACCTTTTTAAAATATAAAAATACAGTATTCACAATGACGTTTTACATATTATACATAACTCAAAATTAGCCCACACGTCAGAAGAGAATTTTTTTGTAAACAAAATCCATGGAATGCATTAACGTTTGTACATCAATTACAATAGTTCATATCTATAACTTAAAGTAATCTCTTTGTAAACAGTTACTGCCTATGATTTAGATTCAGTTAAAAATACCTAATTCAACAATAACCTTTTTTTTCTGGAAACAGCACATTTTGGAAGGTTTCATACAAAAGGAAAGACATTGAATCTACTCAAAATAAAAAACAACTTCTGTAACAAGCAAAACTTCATAACAGCACTAGATACTAGATTAATATTGTAAATGTTTATAAGAAAACAAGTCTGATGCAGTAAATAAATACTAAAGTACTATTTCTTTTTTCTATTCTGTCCAGGGACTCCATAAAGATTAAGTATCATGCTGTCAAAAGGAAGCATATTCTACCTAATATACCATTCAGCATTAACTTCATTATGAAGTTCAAACATGAGCAGGAACCACTCCCTTGGTTAATTAAATTGGCCAAACTCCCTCAGCAAGTAAATCAGCTGTCTAAAATATTCAACAGTTCACAATAATAACCCAAATAATGGTGTACCAATTGCAGGAAACTGATAATTAATTGTATAGTTCATAGTAACAAGGACTTTCAGACATATTGTACATATATGTTGTAGAAAAAAAACATTCCGCAATATTGTATTAAAAAAATAGGCATATGAAAAATTAACAGATATAACTTGTTAATTTGGAATTATAAAAATAATAATCCTTGCATTTGATATAGCTCCTTATCACCTTGTTGAGACGTCTCAAAGCGCTTTGAATTGCTAGATTAGAAAAGTTTTCAGAGATTTATATTTTGATTAATGCAGAATGTTTTTAAGGTCAACTTCAGTTCTGGTTATACTAAAAAGAGGATTATGAATGCTATGTTCTTTCCAGTGGAAACAGCAGAGTTATTAATATCAAGTGGAAAACATGCTACATGCAGCATTAGTATAACGTTAAACAGCAGCTCAAAATAATGCACTTCATTCATCTCATTCATTAAAAATAAATAATTGTCTTTGACTGAGAGTCACTCAATCATTAGGTTAAGAGGTCATGTTTACCACATCTGGGTCATCTCTAAGCCACTAGCATTTGCATAACCAACTGGTTGTAAAGTGTAATGTTTGTAATTTTAAAACATAGTTTCGATTCACTTGTTCCTTTATTTAAACCTTACACTTCCACTCTCTTCCACAATCTGCCCAGTCCCTTTCTCAGAATCCTTTTATACTTGCTTGCTTTTTATTGTCAATGTCCAATTGCCAATTAAGTCATTAAAGTAATATGCAACAAATATACTATACACACTCCGCAATCCAAAGGGTGATTTGCTAAATAACATTTTTTTATCAAATTTGCAAAACTTCAAATTGTTACAGCAACATGATTTGAAGAAGGGGAAAGAAAAATCGAACTGCTGGAAATCTGAAGTAAGAACAAGAAATGTTGGATATTCACAGGCAGACAATCAGAACCTAGTTTTTTGGGGGTCTTATTTTCCCTAAGGTAGCTAAATAGTTTAGGTCTGACACCAGGAAATATTTATTTCTATAAAACCTAATCAGCAGCAGGAAAGATGTTAGAACCAGGATTCTGGATTTGCTTAAGATATAGTATGATGCTGTACTGGGAAGATAGTAGATTTGGTATTCTGAGGCAATGGGATAATAGGAAGATAGGATTCTACCATCTGAGGAATGACAAGCCCAGAAACGACCACTGCTTCATCTGTCCATTCCCATTTTCAAATACTATTCATCTCTAGTTCTAGCTCACATAACCCTTTGCTTGAAATTCGGTCTTGAACTGGCCTCCTTGGCAAATTGCTCCGGATGTTAACTGCATACAGCAGCACAGGAGGTCTAGTCTGCCTGACAGATAAATGTTAAAGATCCCATGGCATTACTTGGAAAGAGAAGGGAGTTTGTGTTGGTATTCTGACAAACAAACCCAGATACAACTGATCATTTACTGTTTGTGGGTCATTACTGTGAGCACATTGTGTTCATCTAATATAATCAAATTTGTAGTTGATACAAATACAAACACTCCACTTTGCAATAAACCATGTGAAGCACTTTGAGATATGTTACAACATGGTAAGATAATAATAATCCTTGCATTTGATATAGGCTCTTATCATGTAGTTGAGATGTCTCAAAGTGCTTCACAGATTATACTGGATGCTGTATCAAATGCGACAATTATTATTGCATGTTAATTACCCTCTGTGTAATGTAGTTAAATTGAAACTTTCTATTCATCTTCCCCTTTTGAAATAAGACCAAGACTCCTCATTGTGGATCTCCTGATCATATTCAATAATATCATATTGGACAAAATGCTTTCTTCAACTGAATCATAATTCAACTGATTTGCAATATTTATGAAATCGAAGATTTGACACTCACCTCAATGTCATTCAGACCAGTCCATAGCATGTTGTAATTATTCAGAGACCTGAGGTGCGAGGATATGAGCATATGTTCTTCTTCAGTATTTATGTCAAGAAGGTGAGCTCCAGTTGCTGCTGATTCACAGAAATGGAGTGCCTCTTTCCATTTCATGTGCTCTTTTCTTATCCAGTAACAACTATATTTTGATCCAATCCAGTCTGGAGGACATGACACTATAAAGGCAACAACAGTATGATCAGCTTATGAAACTGCAAGTCTTCCATAAGCAGAGCAGATAAAGAAAGAAAGTTAACAACTTGACACCATTCAATCCTTGTTACCATAGAATCAATCATCGAATTATACAGCATAGAAGGAGGCCATTTGGATCATCGTGTCTGCCGGCTTTTTGAAAAGAACTATCCAATTCAATCCCACTCCCCCGCGCTCTCCCCATAGCTCTGCAAACTTGTCCTCCCCTGTTATAGTTTACAATAAACAGCTGTATGAATTTTAAATTTTTTTTTAAAAATACTAACTTTCTCCTTTTCTGCATCTCAAACTGAGAAGTATAGATTTACATGTAACAGAAACCATTGAGTGAATGGTGCAAGTGGACATCCTCATGACTGAGTCTTGACAGTGACAGTTAATGGATTATTTCCCTGTTATAATGATAATAATCCTTGACAGTTGATGTAATGCCTGTAACATTGAGAACATCGCAAAGTATTGCACAAAGTTTCTGTAAAGTGTAGTGACTGTGTATTTGTTGACAATCGTGACAACCTGTTTGCGTGCACCATTGACCCACAAACAGCCATGAAATGGATGTCCAATTTCTGTTGTCACGACACCAAGAGGAACTCCTGTCACTTTTCGAATAGTGCTATGGAATCTTTAAAATAAACCTTATCAGGCAGAGGGGACCTTGTTTCAATATTTCATCTGAAGGACAGCACCTCAAAGAATACAGCGCTTCACCGGCATTATAAACTCAGACCCAACATAGGGTTTCATCCTATGTTGGTTTGGGTAGGGCACTTCACAACAAAGCCCAATTTATTTCTATTCATACGGTTTGCAACAATTTGCCACAGTTTCCTTGGACTAGACAAATGGGAGGAAATATCCAGGTCATGCAATTCGCATCACTGTCCAGTAATCCTACTGGAAAGTGCAAGTGTCTAGCTATCAGGTGAAGACATTATCAATTGCAGTGTATTAACACATTGTATGAACAGATTTACATATTGAAGTGTAAATCTGTGCCAGTCAGGAGAAAAAGGGAGAAAATGGTACCACTAAACCTAATAACACATAGAAAATTATTTTGCACTGATCAGTAAATTTACCAACCTTGGTTGCATGCTTGTGTGATGGGATTTACCAGCAGTGTATCCCACCCACAGTCTTTGTTAATGCCCAGACTTTGAAAGCCACATTGGCATTGTTAAATCAATTGATTCTGACCTTTATGCCAATAACACATTGGCTCTTTTATAAAATATTCTGCTTCCCCCAACACCGAGTTTTTAATCAGTCACAATGCCAACTAAATAACATATGAATTTGAACTAAATTGTTTTTCATACCTGTTTCGATGAGAATATCAAAGATTTGCGTCAAATTTATTCCAACGAGATGCACTTGCTTGAATTCCAAAGAGAAATTATGCAGCGTTCCAGGTGTTAATTCATTCCACACATACTCAGTTTTATTCAGTGGAATAGTGTGTGAAGTGAAATTAAGGGTTATCACAGCAAGAAGTTTTAAATCTCCAAACTCCTTCCAATCAAATAAAACACTCGTTGCTGAAACATTTACTTTTATAGCAGCTTCACTGAGCAGACCTGAGAGATAGAAAATGTGTTAGTATTCCTGTTGCCAAAATATTAGCTATACATTTTGAATGCTAAGTTAGGTTTGTATTCGTAAGTCTCAACAGTTTAAGCTTTTACCAACAAACAATCACAAGCAATACATATTGTTAATTACATTGTTCAATAGCAGTTTTCAGTTTTATAATGGCAGGTGTACTGTAGTTGATATCAATCAAACTAATATTAATCCCCAGTAAAAATACATTTTTTGACAAATTATTCCAGTGAATCTTCAGAATTAATAAAGACTGAGATTGCACTTAGGAAATGCTGTATCTATCTTTCAAAAGCAAATATGCTCATATACTGTTAACCTTATAAGCAACTTACATTATCAAATTTACTCATTCGTAAAAAAAACCAAAGAATTATGTATGACTTTATTTTGTTTGAGCTCTGCTGTATAATATTATTGCAATAACTTCCATTTTGCATAAGAGTACTAAGAGATTCTTCATTAAAAAAAAGATAATCAGGCTACGTGTTATTGAAGACATTTCAAGGTTACAGATTTTTTAAACCAGTGAGTGCAAAGTACCTCTATAATAAACTCCACATGTGAGGAATAAAGCAATGTTTGATGGGGAATATTGACAGTGAGGAATGAGATGAGGGAAGTTCCATCTCACAGAGAATAATGAGAATTGGATAGATACTGAGCAATACAAATAACAGTCAATTCACTTTACGGTATATTCTGTGAAGCGCTTTGAGATGTCTCGAAGATGTGATAAGACGCTATATCAAATGCAAGGATTGTATTATATTGAGCAATATTGTGGAAAGCTAGGGAAGCAAGATCAAGGGAGGCTTGTAATACAGTATTTGGGCCAAGGAATAGTCTGTGGCGAAGAGGATTCAATGGGCCACAGGGCCTTAGGAAATCCTAATTTCCTATGTTCCTATTAGCAAATTATTCTTTCCCCTCTCCTCGTACACATACACAAATACACACACAAACATACCACACACAGACAGAAATATATAACTTTAGTACATGAATATTTTTAATTTGTCTAAACTCTGCAGGTTTTACAACTGCTGATCACAATGAAGGTTATCTCCTAACAAATGTTTATTAAAGGTTCCGATTAGTATCATGCATGAAACCTTCTTAGTTTTCTACATATTTACAAGTTTCCTACACTACAAAGTGACCTTTTGGAATAAATTAACCTGTGAGATTCAGACTATTTTGTGTTAAATCATTTTCTAAACATTCATGTATTGCAAGTTAGAAAACAAGGACTGATTTTACAACTTGCAATATAACGTCTCATGGCTTGGAGTGCTTCACAAAAACAGGGTGAAATGTCAAGAGCGGAAGGGGAAGCTAGCCATAGGTGCAGTCAAAGAGGTCCTTTTTAGGCATGATATAAAGACAGTTAGAATTCAAGATCCTCATCCTCACCTACAAGGCCATTCACGGCCTTGCTCCCTCCTACCTCTCCGACCTACTATCCCCCTACTTACCTGCCCGTACCCTCCGTTCCTCTGGCTCTGGTTTGCTCCACATCCCCCACCCCAACCGCCCTACCATCGGGGCCGGGCCTTCAGCCTCTCAGCCCCGAGGCTCTGGAACTCTATCCCTCAGTGCCTTCGCCGCCTCCTCCCTTTCCTCCTTCAAGGCCGGTCTCAAGACCTTTCTCTTTGACCGAGCCTTCAGCTCCCCTCTTGACTCTCTACCCCATCCTCGCTCCCTCCCTTCCCTCCCCCTGACCATTTCCCCCTTGCTCGGGTCCCAACCCAACTGTACAGCGCCTTGGGACGTCCTCCCGACGTGAAAGGCGCTCAATAAATGGAATCTTGTTGTTGTTGTTGTTGTTAGAGAGGGGGTGAGATAGAAAGGTAGATGGAGGGAATTCAATGGTTGCATCAAGGAGAAAACGACCTCAGCAGCGCTTTGCATGCACAATGCGCAACAAGTGACGCCAGTGGTTATCTCATGACCTGAAAGTTAGCTACGTTTTAGCAGGAAGCCGGGTGTACCATACTTCCGGGACAGCACAAGTGACTGAATTAAACGTAAGGGCACAGAAGGACACTCAAGCTGTAACCAAAGAGTGTCCCGAAAAGTATGTACGGTAAACTTGTGCGTACGGTGCACAACGGGGCGCCTTCTGAAAGCACCAAGTACGCCTTATCCGGGTGTGTGCAGGTGCGCACATGGATGTGGTGTACACAGGGGCAACTCCCAACTGTTTTAAAGGGAGTTTCCCAAAAAACGTGTGCACAACCTATGTGCGGTGAATGAATGCACTGTAAACAACGGAATTTTTTTTGTATTGAGAGAAAGGGGAAAAAATGGAACAGAAAATATTGTATGTTGTGTTTGTTTGGGATTTTTGTTGTACCAAATATTGTATTTATAAATAAATATATATATTTTTAAAAAGCATAGTAGCCCCTCGCTTTAAGGGAACCAGCACTCAACAGATGGCAGTTCTAATACGGCAGTCCTGTAGAATTATTGTAGCAGAGCAAATACTTACCTACTCATTAGCCTTCATTTCCACTGAATCATAGAAAATGTTTTTCTGATTCTCGCCAAGTCCATCTGATTGCAACTTACATAAGTTAAGACAGCAAACTGGTGCTTACGTGTCGTAAAAGATTTGCTGTCCAAGGGTTCTCCGTGTCTCAGCGACTTTGTACTAAAGTAATAGTTTGTATCTTCATGAAGGTCACTCAGTGTGATACTTGATCCTTGAACAGATTTCTGAGGAGCAGAAAGAAACTGTGCTGGTTTAAAATTTGAAATGAACATGTGAGTCATTGTATGCTTAATAAAAAGCGTAGTGCATAATTACTCATGGGCATGAAATAATAACTATATCTCTGAACAATTTGGCCCAACTGGTCCATGCTGGTGTCATTCACTGGGATTTCACCTTTCGGCACTGCAATGTTCTTTGTAAAGATATCAGCTACAAAACATTTAAAAAAGATAACTTACAATTACATGTCAAGTACATTACAAATGATAACTAAAAGTTGGCAGGCATTCATCATAATAATAATGCTTACATTTGGTGTAGCCCATTTCATGTCGGGAGGATGTCCCAAAGCCGATTATAGGATAAACTGTAATGTGCAGCGATTGTACAATGGTTGTTGGCCAGAACACTGGGAGAAACAACCTTCTCTTTTTGAATAGTGCGGTGGGATCTTTAACATCCACTTTAACAAGCAGACATCATCCTCGGTACCTCAATGCAGTACTGCATTGGAGTGTCAGCTTAGACTATATGAGTTCCAATTCCCAATGTGGGGCTTGAAACCATAGCCATCTGACTTAGAGTCGAGAGTGCTACCAACTGAAAATAAAGACATTCAGCTCTTGCACCAGAAACCATCCATTCCTTGAACAGTATATGAATATATTATGTTGTAGATAAAATACTTGTTCAAAAAATCACGTTGTTTCAATCACTTGATAAAAGTCAGGTCATAAAAATTAGAAATATAACATAACGTGGTAGATTTAGTTATTGTGATATCTTTACCGTGGTACTGGAAAAGGTTGGGGCCAGTGTTCCGTATGTTATTAGATAGGTTTCTGTCTGTTCTTCAGGAAACACGTTCCACTCAATCAACACCCTTATTGTTGAACGATTCGCAGCTAACTGGCAATTCAAGCATCCTGCAAACTAGAATTAGTGCTGCTTACTTACATGTCAGTTGTGGTGATAACAATAAAAGTAACATATAATCATCATATCACAATGCTAGAAGCAGAGGAATTGAAGTATTAAACTTATTTTAAGGGTTCAGAATATCTAGTCTGACACAAATTGATAAGTAAAATAATACGTCTGAGGATTTTAAACTGATATTCAATCTATTTTGTAGATGTTCTCTCTGTAAACGCAGATAGATGAATTGCAATATTGTACATGCAGATTCATATCAACTTCAATCCTGGCCTTGATAACAATACAAGTAGCATATAGTCTAGAAATCTAGAAGGCTGGAAACACATAAAAGTAACTTTGAATCAGATTTCTGGACAAAAGAAAATCTATGTGATGTATCTAACTTTGGGGCACGAACAGTACAGCAATCCTCAAATGGTTAACAGCAACAACTTGCACTTATATAGCAGGGTAACATCTCAGAGCGCTTAACAGTGGCGGAGCCTGACTCCGAGCCAGGGGAGCTGGGGTGAGGGACGGCCATAAGAATGGTTTGGGTAAGTTAATTCAGTAATAGTCTGACTAGGTCAAAGCATTTTTGACATCAGAAGACAATTTGGCGATCAAACATATTTTTATTGAACTTCTTAAGTTGACACATTTGTTTCACTGTAAACACTATCAAAAGGAGATTAAAAAGTTAAGCTTTTCATTTGGCTGTACATTTTTGTCTAACTACACTGAGCAGATTCTGTTAATAATTAATAGAAAAAAATTCAAATTGTCTCTCTGGTACTGTGATTGTTTTGTTCTCCATAACCAGCGCTCCAAGACGCTGTCCTGTGTGAAGGGCACTATATAAATGCAATTTGTTGTTCTTTGTTATTTTATAAAACATGTGGCTACCGCACTCATTGCATAAACAGTTAAAATGCTCCAAACTTCAATACTATAATAATAATATAATAATAATCCTTGCATTTGATATAGCGCTTTTCACGTCGAGAGGACGTCCCAAAGCGCTTCACAGAACACACTGCAAAGTGAATTGACTGTATATTTGTGGGCGAACGCGGCAGCCAATTGCGCACAGCAATGTCCCACAAACAGTCGTAGATTGAAAATGACCAATTTATTATTGTTTTTGGTTTTTGGAGGGATTATTATTAGGCTCTGTGTGGAGTAAGGAAACTTGCCCAAGGTTTCGCCCTCTGCCTGGAATTGAACTCAGGTCTCTCACTTGCAAAGCGAGTGCTCTAACCACTGAGCTACAGGACTCCACAAGCTACAGAACTGAGCTACAGGACTCTACTAGCTGGAAAATTGTCTCAACGTAGTTACCCCTAATAGATCTTCATGTTTGATTATGTTGCATGTTACAATGTATTCACAATAGTCTTCCTAAATGTAGCAAAGCGCAGAGCGAAAACATTAAATTCAAACAAGAGAGAATTTGAATTGTTTAAATGTTGCCAATGGCCACACACTATAATCATCAGTTTACGCTGCTGAGATAATTTCTGCCTTAATAATAAATGTATTCCTACCTGAAAAACATACTTTAGAAAACACAAACACAAAAGGGACTGGTCCATATGGGAAATTGGTTTCATTCTGCCTTGTGTAACATTCAAATGCAGCTTCTCAGCATCACACAGCTTCTACTCCACAACAAGCTGCAAAACCAAATGAAATCAAAACTAAAAGTGAGAAACATGATTTTTACTTCCTGCTCCTCGCAGACAATGAACAGCATGCCACAAAAACAGATATTAGTAACCAAATCTGTAATAGCGTTAATCATCCTTTAAAATCTTTGGGCCATCCATTGACTTAATTTAAAATAATAATAATAATAATCCTTGAATTTGATATAGCGCTTTTCACGTCGGGCGGACGTCCCAAAGTGCTTCACAGAACACACTGTAAAGTGAATTGACTGCATATTTGTGGGTGAACGCGGCAGCCAATTGCGCACAGCAATGTCCCACAAACAGTCGTAGATGGAAAATGACCAATTTTTATTATTGTTTTTGGTTTTGGAGGGATTATTATTAGGCGTGTGGAGTAAGGAAACTTGCCCAAGGTTTGGCCCTGCCTGGAATTGAACTCAGGTCTCTCGCTTGCAAAGCGAGTGCTCTAACCACTGAGCTACAGGACTCCACAAATGGACTATTGGTAGAGTGGAGCAGTGCTAATTTGCATTGCTATACTTATAATATTGTGGTGCAATGCCGAGTGCTTCCAGCATTGCAGCAATTTGGACTGAGAAGCCTAATCTTTACTTCACATTCCACTTTGAATCTAGGGCTGCTTTTGAACAAATACCCAATTGCAGAGTTCAGCTATGGGCACTGCACAATATTCATAAATGAGTTGTTTGTTAATTAATAAGTGTTCTCCTAAAATGTTACAGGAATGGATTGTGATTCATAATTCTGGTACCTTGACAAAAAAAAGTCATTAAACATAAATGAGACTTGACTCTGAGCATTGGTAAGATTTTCAACAGTGGGGTGTCATACCTGAACACAATCCTGTCCACACTTGATGGCTGCATTCACAACCCCTCCAGCATGGTTCGCTGGGTCAGAAACAGGAACCCTGGATGAAACTTCTTTCGTTCTGGCTCTAGTACATTGAACGCAATTCTCATGTCCCAACTGTTGCCCCAACAAATATCAGCAAACTCAGCATAAACTCAGCATTTGACAAGTTTCCACTCCAGACCAGTACTGTGCAATATGGTCCAATTCTATATAATAGACCAGTATTGTACAATATGGGACAGTGCTTGTGATTTGTTGACCAGTATCTGGGTGATCTGGGCTAGTGCTGTAAAATCTGTGGACCAGTGCAATATATTAATGCTAACATACTGTGTAATATAGATCGGTGGTGTGCAATATGGACCAAAAAAATTCAAATTGTCTCTCTGGTACTGTGATTGTTTTGTTCTCCATAACCAGCGCTCCAAGACGCTGTCCTGTGTGAAGGGCACTATATAAATGCAATTTGTTGTTCTTTGTTATTTTATAAAACATGTGGCTACCGCACTCATTGCATAAACAGTTAAAATGCTCCAAACTTCAATACTATAATAATAATATAATAATAATCCTTGCATTTGATATAGCGCTTTTCACGTCGAGAGGACGTCCCAAAGCGCTTCACAGAACACACTGCAAAGTGAATTGACTGTATATTTGTGGGCGAACGCGGCAGCCAATTGCGCACAGCAATGTCCCACAAACAGTCGTAGATTGAAAATGACCAATTTATTATTGTTTTTTGTTTTTGGAGGGATTATTATTAGGCGTGTGGAGTAAGGAAACTTGCCCAAGGTTTCGCCCTCTGCCTGGAATTGAACTCAGGTCTCTCACTTGCAAAGCGAGTGCTCTAACCACTGAGCTACAGGACTCCACAAGCTACAGAACTGAGCTACAGGACTCTACTAGCTGGAAAATTGTCTCAACGTAGTTACCCCTAATAGATCTTCATGTTTGATTATGTTGCATGTTACAATGTATTCACAATAGTCTTCCTAAATGTAGCAAAGCGCAGAGCGAAAACATTAAATTCAAACAAGAGAGAATTTGAATTGTTTAAATGTTGCCAATGGCCACACACTATAATCATCAGTTTACGCTGCTGAGATAATTTCTGCCTTAATAATAAATGTATTCCTACCTGAAAAACATACTTTAGAAAACACAAACACAAAAGGGACTGGTCCATATGGGAAATTGGTTTCATTCTGCCTTGTGTAACATTCAAATGTAGCTTCTCAGCATCACACAGCTTCTACTCCACAACAAGCTGCAAAACCAAATGAAATCAAAACTAAAAGTGAGAAACATGATTTTTACTTCCTGCTCCTCGCAGACAATGAACAGCATGCCACAAAAACAGATATTAGTAACCAAATCTGTAATAGCGTTAATCATCCTTTAAAATCTTTGGGCCATCCATTGACTTAATTTAAAATAATAATAATAATAATCCTTGAATTTGATATAGCGCTTTTCACGTCGGGCGGACGTCCCAAAGTGCTTCACAGAACACACTGTAAAGTGAATTGACTGCATATTTGTGGGTGAACGCGGCAGCCAATTGCGCACAGCAATGTCCCACAAACAGT